GGGGGGGCAGGGAACAAGGATTGTACTCGGGCCAGGTAGTGGCTTTGTCCCTCCCGAGAAATTTTGCAGGTAACAATAGTGCAATTCTACAGTAGGATTATAAGATCAGTTTCCTTTGCATATTAAATCTTTGAAAGGTAAACCAAAACAAACTTGACTTTTAGCTGTTGCCGCCCCCTTTTTTCTTCTTTTGGGTTTTCCCCGAAACCACGTTTTTCAAACTGGTGAACACGATGATTCAAAATCTAACATACCGATTTCGATGAAATTTTTACCACATATTCTTTATAAAATTATCTATGGAACTACGTGAGCTTTTCTGATTGGTTCTTTCATGGTCAAGTCGTAAATTTATTTAACCAAAAATTTACATCGAAATCGTATTTTTTTCAACTGACTGCCATTAAAAAAAAAAATTCTTAATTTCTTCCCCTCGTAGTTCCAAGCGATTATCTGTCTAAATAATACATTTTTTTTTAATGAATGAATAAATGAATTAATAATTGTTAATATTATTTTTTCAATTAATTAAGTTATGTCAAGGCAATTTACGGAGGGAAAAAATTATTTTTTCCAGTGCAATGAAAATTTGAATTGTTTATAATCTGTTATCAAGATGAATATTGTTGGGAATAATAGTTTATAAACAAAAGAATTTAATGATAAATTGTTCTTCCTCTCTCCTTGAACGGTAATTCGATACTTTGCACCAAGGATTGCCCTGTAATTGAATACGATACGGGCTACCGGACACTATCACATTAAAAAAAAATCACGTTTCAAACTTCTTATTACCCACTACAGCTAAATCTGATCCCCCCTACCCCACCAGCATCAAGTGAATGAAGAAACGAGTGGCGAATAAAAAATTAGGGCACCGTGATTCATCAGCAATGAACGCAATTACTAATATCTCGCAATGTCACTTCCGCTGTTAATGAGAGATCAATTAATCGGTATTAAATATTAATCACCAGACTGATGTTCTGCGGATTAGATATTGAATAAAAAATGATAAACCACTCGGGTTTATGCCTTTGTGAATCAATACGCAATTGTGAATTTTCTCGTGGTATTTTCCCTCTGGCGCATCGTAAAAGAATTCCAGAAAAAAAATATTGAGGAAAAACTTGTGTTCTCATCAAGAAATTTCCGTGTTTACATCAATTACAAAATTCAATTACCCCCGTACAACTGGAAATTTAATTTTAAAAAAGTTGAAAAATCATCTCCAGGGTCAAAGACTGTGAGATAATCTTTCCTTTTTTATTTATTATTCAATAATACTTCCTAGTACCGAGCCAACAGATTATCTAATCCATAATAAACCCACGGTTCGTTAAATCCGTCCTTTAACGCACCATTGACATTTAAAAAATCGTTTGAAACTTAAAATACATCCGCAGGACCTCAAAATTTCAAAAAAAATCCCCAGCGATCTCTCTCATAAAATCCCCGGAGTGTCATCCATTCAGTTGTCAAATTAACTTCAATTACCATGAGTAAGTGAATTTAACATGGAGAGACCGTGAATTGTGTTAAGGCCTGTTACACAATGGATTTTTAATCATCAGACACTAATACTATTGCCACCGTGTGATTTCAAATCTTATGACGTCAAATCATGGGAATTACTCATATGACCTAGACAAGTAATTGATATTTTATCATTGAATGAAATAGAAAAGTTGCCAGTATTTTATAATTCGTTGACACATTAATCTCAAATTTCATTCTGAGTGGCATGATAATATCTAATTATACGACTGAAAATAAGTCGCCGTAGGTTAATACATGAATAATAATAATGAAAATAATACTAAAAAGCTACATTGTACTGGTATAAATCAGAGGTGGGCAACCTCAGTTCTCGGAGCTACTCCAGATCCCGACCTCCATTAAGCAAAATTGTCCCAAGCCATAAATTTTATGACTGCACCCCCTTTGGGCCCATGATACCCTGCCCGTAGGCAAGAGTGGGGATATTCGGTAGAAACTTGATTGTGGGAAAAGTGAAATAGAAAAATTTTCTACTTCTCTAATGGAAATATTTTTTCAATTATTGTTTTTTTTGTTGTTATCCTTTTGATTGGTTATTGAGTGCTTTTAATCCTTATGAAGAACGATTTCGTACCCTTCATAGATTTCTTGAAGTAATTTTGAAATGATAATTGAAATATTGTTTGGAAAACAATTATTAAATATTACCATGTTGTCAATAGAACTTACTTGACATGCATTTTCAAACTTTTCATTCTTATATTTTCCGCTCTCGATGCCAAATTTTTTAGACATATAAATATAAATAACTTATACTATAAGTTATTTATATTTGTATTCCTAAAATATTCCACCTGACGAAAAGAAATCCCTTCAATTCCTCAAACTAAATATTGATTCATCATTAATGGCGAATTGCAACGATAATTTGCATACAGTAATTGAATGTGAAATCATTGCAAAATATTATTTTTCACTTACAGACAATAATGGGATAATTGAATAATGATACTGAATTGTTAAATGAAAAATGCGGCGAAATGCAATTAATTGGTAAAGAACGGGTTTACGATTATTTTGACTTTCTGGGTTTTAAATAAAAAATATATATTCAACGTTTGAAATTATTCACAAGATGGTAAGAAACCCAAGAGTGAAAAAAAAATGTACTTTTGTCTAAGGTACGTAAAAAAGTGCTTGAGGATATGAAAGGAATCCTTAGAATTGAGGGAAAATACATCCGGCTTTAATCATACCGTTGGGTCTTCAGAAAACATCCTGAAAGTTGATGGCTTCAGTATTCGCCTTGGCAATTCATTTTCACTGGAGCAAAACGAAAACTAAAAAAGGGGTGAAAAATAAACCCCACAGTCTAGCACTCATTTCAAAAATCATTTCCACTCCAGTTAAAATGTCCCTCCAAGGTGCACCGCGGATCCAATTATATTCTCTTCAAAATAATAATTTTTCGCGTTAATAATTTTTGAGTCGATGAACAATTTGACTCTCGTCTGGGTCAAGAATATTATTTATGTTCGGATTGAGATCTGACCCTCAACTTTCAGACCGAATGGGATGCGAATTGAGTTTATGGACGAGTCATCCTGTTTCTGGTCGCGTGCCTATAATTAACCGCCCCTTATTCATACTTTAATGAGTCGTTGGTGAATTGCATGGGGGATTTGCATAGAGTGACATTTCGTTTGGGGGAGAAAATAGAAATGAAAAGATAGAAAGCGATGAGTTCGTTAATAATAATAACGATAATATACCTGACTTTTTTCAAAATTGACACTTCCGGTGACAACTCATGGGGCAAAAATCAATTTTTTCGTCGACATATCGGAATTGTGGAAAGAATCTCATATGTAAAACTAGCAATAATTATTTCGAGAAAATTGTTTTTTTTTTCGATTAAAAGTGAATTTTCTCTCGGTGTAAAGAATCTTGAATAGAAAGAGATGTAAAAAAAAAAAACCAAGAGGATGGTAAGCTGTTATTTCCTGAATAAATCGATATTGCACTAGACCTCCGACATGCCCAACTCGAAAATAACGATCGTGGAGAACTTACCAGTCGCCCCAAGGCCTAGATACACTATATAATCCTCGTTATATATAAAATATCTCGTCTCCCTCAATTTCTCGCATGTTCTCCGCTTTCACGTAGCGATATACATTGAGAATAGAACGAAAAAAATATATATATATGACTCATCGTCCTTGTTCACTAACAACACGGCATTTGTTGTTATGCACAATAGCGATAAACTGATAACGAGCTTTTGTCACGAACAGTACAATGCACGTGAGTGAAGACGTGCACTCGCATGATTTTAATCACTAATGTCAAGCGAGATGATTTTTTTAAGACCAACATCAACCCGAATTTCATTAGTATCGATACCCCTTATCAGTTACTTCACCTACAAATTAAATGTGTGATAAAGAGCGTATGAACGGGAATTTGTGCATTTTAACATCGGAAAATTCAATGGATTTCAAATTTTTCTTTATAAGATGGAGATATTTCAAGATCGGTTTCCGTTCTCCTTTTTATATAAAGAAAGAAGATAAAGAGTAAATTTTAAATTAAATCATTTTTGCCAGATTTTCTTCATTGAAAAAGCAATCTGATTTTGAATTTTTTTTTTCGCTCGTCATGAGTCGATATAAGTCGATTTTTGCAACGAGTCGATACAAATCGATTATCGCAATAAATCGATTTGTATCACAGTCGATATAAATCGATATTAATCGATATTCATTGATTTGTCAATACTGTAAGAGATTTTTTTGTTTAGATGTTTAAGAATGAATGTTTAGAAATTTTTCAATCTAGATTAGAGATGTACAGAGAAAATTGGGTCTTGAATTTTAATCAGTGAAATTTGTGGCGATTACGGATGCGTTCTCAAGGCTATAGATAATTGAAGTAAAGATGCAATTGATTATGAAAATGATAGTTTACGCCGACATTTCAAGGTGATGAAGTCACGTAGGAAGCGTTATGAAAATTGATGAGATGGAAAAAGAAAATGGTCGATGTTGATACCGATAAGCAATATAGTTATTAATTTAATTAATTTACGGATATAAATATCCGATCAATTGACGAAATGATTATTATTGGATTGGGATTTTCAATCAGTCATTGCATTTTCATTCTTTTTTTCCTCATGTGTTCATCCATTCGCTTATCAATCGCAAAAGCAAATTTATATTTTTTTTACTATGTAACGATAAAAAAAAACGCACGACCTAATAATAAAATAAAAGAGACGATAATATTACTAATTTCTTATAATAATGGTAATTAATATTATTATATAATATATGAATTTTACGACTGCTTTGAAAAGTAAAATTGTGAGATTGAATTGAATATTTTGGATTATATTCAACGACAACTTCGTAATGAAAATAAATTAATGACCGTCATGTGACAGTCATACACCGAGTCACAGGATTTCAGCAAATCTTCAGATTGCACCCGAAATACAACAATGTCGCGTTATCGAGATAATTCTATACTTAAACACCTGTCAAATCCCGTCTCAAACCGCTTTATCACTTCCTCATTGAATTCTTTTCCCTATATAAAGTGATTAATAATTATACAGCGTAATGTAATTTTAAAAATCATTGCCGAACGATTTTTCCTGTTTCGAGTTTCACGAACGGGAATTCATCAATCTGTTTTTATTCAAATTATATTGCTCATCTGATGACCGGAATGCTCTTAAAGCGATTGTAAGGAAAATTTTTAATGATCAATTAATTGTCTGAGCTGATGATAAACTGTCAATGGAAGAATGTAAGAATTTATTCCAGAAAGACTTGTCAGTTTAATTTCAATTCCAAAGAACAGAAATTGTTCGAATTCTTCGAAATTTTTTACTTTTAATAATCGAATAATCAATTTCATCAAAAGGCGTAATTACCACATATTGTCATAAACAATCAGTTCGATAATAATTGTTATTCGTTGATGAAATTTCCTCTCATCTGGATGAAATAACAAAAAGTAAGAAGAACAACTCGTCTACCATGAATCCTATAATAACCCTAGAATTACCATAATTAACAATAATAATAACAATAATTCCCTAGTTCTATGATAATTTTGTTCATCAAGGAAAAAATTCTCTGGAATGATTCGATGATTAAGAAACAATCAGCATTCCTTGAAACTCCATCGATTGACGTTTCAATAAGTTTTTTTAACCTTGATGTTACGTTTTCTGACGAAATATTGTTTGTTAATTATCCACGGATAATAAGCTTCCCAGAAATCCAGTGAACTACTCCTAATTCAGTTATTCTACTCCTGATATTATTTACAGTCATCTTCGAAATCCCTATTTTTTGTTATTCCCATTTTGTGCTATAACAAATGAGGAAAAAATGTGGAATATTGCTGGTTGAAAATGAGATAATTATCGTGACGTAATTACGACACAGTTGAGCCAAGCATTTTCATTCGTACACAGCATTCATAGGTACGTGTACTTAACCACGTAGCACTTGTACTAGTTTTTCCTAGTTGAGAATTATTTTTTATTCTCTAGAATTTCTTCTCAAAATGTTGGAAATTGTCATTCCTTATGCGACACACACAAAAAAAAATACAGAGAGTCCCACAATTCTAATCATTTTGGAAATTAATAAAGAATATGAATAATATAAAGATACTACAGAGATATTTCGCCAATTTTTTCAATATGCAATAATTCCAGACTTTTTCGTGAGTGACACAAAATGGTAAAGTGACAGAAATTTAAAAAAATATCAAAATTGATTCAAATTTTTTGGGAAATTTCGCGAGAAATTTATCCTTTTGAAATTGAAATTCCAAAAAAAAATTACCGGCAAAAGATAAAATTTCATAAAATTTTATTTCCAAGAATCCGAAACTTCAAAAAATATCAAAATTTCAAAAAATATCAAAATTGATTCAAATTTTTCGGGAAATTTCGCGAGAAATTTATCCTTTTGAAATTGAAATTCCAAAAGAAAATTACCGGCAAAAGATAAAATTTTATAAAATTTTATTTCGAAGAATCCGAAACTTCTAGTGGTAAATAATTTTTTTTTCTTGCGAAACTCAACTCGCCGAATGATTTCGATCAATCCTCGAATTTCACCTAATTCCAATTTTTTCTCAGTACATCATTAAACACGTATCCCACCGGTGGAGGGGAATTCATCAAAAGGGGAATAAGAACTTGACAGGAAAAAAAAAATGTGGAGAAGTTGTTGGGGACAAAAAGCTGGAGAGGGGATGAGTCACTGGCAATCGCCGCAAGTTCTCGGTTTCAATTCAGTCTGAGCGCAACTACCTTCTACCACTGATCAATTCCCCACCTCCCCCCTAAAAAAAATAATAAATAATCAAAATAAAACCCCTCCCCAATTCAAAAGACCAACGAAATGAATAAACGCACTCATCAGTGAATGAATGCAAAATATATTCGAGACTGATTAAAATTTTTGTTTTAAACAAACAACAGAGAAACAACGGCTGCAGATAAAACCACGTAATAAATCCCGCGATTAAATTAAAGATAGGAAATTTTTACGTTTTTGTTTTTACGTTCTTGAGTGAATTTTTCATAAATTTCATGTGACAGTTCATTGGGGTGTGCAAAGAGCCCCTTCCAGTGTCATATTTCATGACAGAGTGTGAAAAACGAGCGAAATATATCGAGTGATCAATCAAGATTGCTCGATAATTAGCCTTGAGGCAATCGAACTAATGAGTGACACCGACTGTGAGGATAAACATGTGCATGCAAAGGTGTAGATTACGTGTTGAGATGTGAGAGGTGTTGGACATTTCAAAGGTAAATTTTTCATTAAGTCATGCATACAGAGCATTTTCAATTAAAATATTAATAATTATCCGGTAATCACAAATCTAATCTAGAAACAACCCTGAAAATTATCTCTTTCGTTTCAACCAACGAAAAAAATTTCATTCTAATTTCAAATGCAATAATTCACCTAGATTTGCTTGTGACATGTGAATTCACTCGGCAGAATTAATTAATTAATCATTCATCATTCATTCATCATTCATCATTCAAATTCGGCTATTAAATTGAAATTTAAATTGGAATTTAAATTGAAATATCATTGAAAAATGAATGATGTAAAATGCATGGAAAGATATATTTCTGAATTTTAAATGGATTGAACAAGAAAGGAGCGAGGGATGACATTCGTTGCGTTTGAAATTAGACTGAGGCAAAAACACAAGGAAAATTCGTTCTTTGTGTGGGTGTCTGCAATTTCTTTTTAATTCAACTGGATAAAAAGAGGAACAAGACCTTGAGCTTACGAGGGCGTTGGTATATTTTAAGAGGTGATTCCCTGGAGGGCAAATACGTCTTTCTCTATTTTATTTAACTTTATTTAAATCTCTCCCTCCTAAAGACGTAGTAAAATATTTCATTTGCGGTTTATTCTTATTTAGTCCGTGAAACATTGTCACGCGGAAATAGCGATGAGTATTATTCGATACTTGACCATGAGGACAACTCTGGTTTATATTAATTCGCAATGGGTGCTATACTTTGCAATAAAATTCCTGCTATCAAATACCGCTGAGTGAATTTACTTGAAATAAATTAATAAATTGAGACGTAATTTTTTTTTTCACATGTTGTATACGGAAGTTTTGAGATTTCGACCTCGAAAAATCGCCATTTACGGGAATAATCGGTAGTAATATCGCAAGTACTTCAACATTATCAGGTACTCACTCATAGCCTCGACGTAAAAATGAATGTCAAATACTGCAACTTAAAAATATCAAAATATTTCGTTCATGTTGACAGAATTTGTGTTACAAAAAATGTCATCGAAAAGTCAAAAAACATTTCTTTCATTTCTGAAAATGTTATATGCCTGATTAAAAGAGAAATTCCTCAAAAATATCTATTAGTAATAGCAGAATTGCACCGGGCGACAATTAGAATAATCGGACGGAAAAACGATAATTCGACTAGGAAGAATTCTTGTGCTATTCTGATAAAATTCGTGATTATTTCTGGATAAACTTATGGGAATTTATAGAGATCTCGAGTGAAGTCTCAGTGAAATATTCAGGCTACGAGGAAATATCCGAAATAAAACAGTCCGTCTCAAATACTCCGCTGATTTGCTTATACTCGAGAGACAGAAATACCCAAAATGAACTGCAAATTTCAGTTGAATTACTCTACGACAATTGAAAGAACCCATGATAACGCAAAAGAATGCATTCAAATCTCGTTATCACGTTTTCAAAAATCCCCCTCAAAATTTGTAAGAAATTTTCTCTTCTAAATCAATCAAATTTTGAATTGAATCACAATTGATAAAAACAACTTTATATTTTTCGAATTTATTCTAATTACCAGCGAAAACTCTATAATCATTTTTTTTAAATCCTCGCGACGTCAGTATTGCACTATTACATATCCAGTTTCATAATTATAATAAGCGATAAATCAGTTTAATGGATTCAAAATGAAAAAAAAGAATTGCACGAACGTGGCATTGCGCAATGAACTATTTACCTCAAGTCAGTCATTGAAAAACCGTAATTTAAAGTACCTGAGAAAATGGTGGATAAAAAATTCAAACGTCAAACATCCCGAACCGTAATTGATCTTTCCTCTCGCAGACTTTAAAACTAGCGGGTATTCCCACAGTTCTCCATTTCACCACGATAACTCTCTTATCCTGATATCAATGTCGTCCAATTGTAAAATGGAAGATGGAATAATTTAATCGGTCGTTTCAACAAATTCTGACTCCACATTCATTGTTAATTAATGCGTTATCAATCCACACGAGGAGACACTAGCGATAATTTTCATTCGATTCAAAAATTGATTGATTGACTCTGGATATCAAGAGCGAGGAATTTGATAATTTTTTCTTCCCCTCCCATTATATATATATTTTTTTTTTACAATTGAGAATGAAATCATTCAAATGAATATTGAATGGTTGAATGATTGAAGAAATAAAAGATTGATGTTTCCAAATCTGAGTCTGGGTTATTGATTGCTGATTAATTGAATTTCCATATTAATTACCAATTAATAATATTCATCTGAATATTAATTGATTAATTTTTGAGAGAAGATTTCAGCGAAATTTCACTAGCGAAATGGTAAATGAGTATAATCGCATTATCTTGGAAGCCAGTTTTTAGCTGATATTTTGGAATTGAAAGTAGATATCGATTTTTTGATAGGAAAATTTTTCCTAGAGAAAAATAAGAGCTACAAAAAAGATATTAATGAAAATATCTCTATCTTTCTTCAATCCCAAGATATTCCCCAAACAATGGACTCGAAAAAAATTCATTCTACATACAACGATAAAAAAATTACTTCCGCCCAACAAATCCACTAGTCAAAAATAAATTTCATTACCAGAATGAATTTTTCCCTATTAGTGTTGTGCGAAATCTCACAATTAAGATAAAAATACCTGACAAATAATTATCAATAAAAATTCCCGGGAATTCAACTAAATAGACCGAGACTATTGTCTCTTTGGTTTGAGACACGCGAGGACGCAAATTACATGCGTTTCCCTTTTGATTGTGCACATGCAGTTGCAATTGTCCCAGTGAACGTATGTTGACAAGTATGACTTTGTCTCGTGCAATTATCGTTCACCGATAACTAATGATAGGACAAGTGAGGAAAGCCGTAATAAAATATACAGGAAGAAAAAGAAAAATATATAATACCAACTACTGGACTCCACATCCGAGCATCATTGCAATCGCAAATCTTTCTGTTAGGCTAATATTATACGACTGTGAGTCATATTAACACGAATATGTGATATATACCTCTGTTGAAGGATATAATGACGACGGATAATGTAAAGCCTGATCTTCAATCCCGATTATTCGGGAAAATTAATGAACGTCCGGGTAATTAATTCTCTGAGCTATTGCCGGTAGACACGAACGGTCAAATAATTTTTCAAATAACTCCGAAAAATTTTCCCCTGATTTATCAAAATAAGTTGATATTAAAATTAGTACCAAAAGGATTAAAACACTACAATGAATATCAAATGCAATTTACTGATGAATAGATCGAAAATTGAGAGAAATTACCATGTGATGTTGAATTTTATAATCAATAATAATTGCATTGGATTTCCTTTTTCAGGCACAACTCCACCTTGATTGAACGTAGATAATTCCCATTGGCAATAATTCAGAGATCGCTAAAAACCAGAGAGCGATAGAGAATGTGGTCATGGTGATTGGCCGAAAAATAAACTAAAATGTAGTAATGATTGAATGGCTATTTATGGAGGTCGTTTGATGTACCAATTTATTGTTGGCATTACGACCCCGAGGATAACGAGAATGGCCATGACCTCAGGAACTAATAAGTGGGCTTCGAGGGTTGTGGTGATCCTTCAACTAGCAGCATGGAGTGCTGTTGGTATTGTGCTGCTCCAGAAAGGAGTTACGTCATTGCAAAAAAAACCACCTGATAGCAACAATGTCACGCAGGTAAATGCTGCACTCAGAGAAATATATATACATTCCACGACCACAGGCTCTTCAATGTTTTGGATAATTCTCTTTATATTAAGCGACAAAGAAGAAATTTTTCTTTTTATAGCACCTATCTATCCCTCAAGTACCAGACAGATGAATAAAAATTTGAAAAAACCGCAAGTAATCAACTCCTCATTTCCAATTTGACCTCTAATTTCCAGACAACAACTCTGAGTTCTTCAAATTTCCACGGGCACTCGGGTCTGGCAGTGATTCCCATTATCGAGGAGAATCCCCACAGCCAGGAGTCCCGCAAAAACGTGGATAAGTCCCCCTGGAAGGTGCCCCTGGAGCCTGAGGACGAGCCCCGGGTCCTGGAGTCCATCGAGTCCCCAAAGGACGAGGAATCGACAAAAAAACCCCAGAAAATATCGAAGAAACCCCCGAAATGGAGTGAAATCGATCTCTTCCCCATTCCCACACCGAGATATTCTCTACCCGAGCCCGAGAGACACCCCGACAAGACTGAAGAGATGATCACTGACAAAGTACCAGCATCATCAACACCACCAGCAACAACAAAATCAGGAATGTGGGAGTCACGACGTAGAGTGAGATTGTCACATCTGAGTGGAGGTGGTGCAGCAGCAGCTGTTGCTATGGTAGCAGTTGGTGCTGTGATGCTGGTACTTGGTCCAGCTGTTATTGTACTTCGTGCACTAGACGAGAGACGACAGGAGAGACGATTCCTGAAATTATCAGGACGCGATGATCTACCACCAACTTACGAGCAGGCAACATTGATGGATGAAGCACCGCGTTATTCCAGTCTCAGTTTGAATACCATCCTTGGACCACCACCACCACCATCACCCACCCCAGCACGTGTGCACTTGGTGTGAGGATTTTTTTAGAACGAGAAAGTGAATTTTTCAAGCCTCGAAGACTGAGTTCTGTGGTAAAACCGCGTTAACTCCACTCCGTGGGTTTTTTTTGGGAATATCTCCCAAACTATGGGACACAGCGAAATTTTCGTAATTACCTTTTCTGCAGGGTCGTTTGAAAACTGTAAAAAAGGTTATAACAAAAATTTCGATATCTCCTCTAGTTTTGGTAATATTTACCGAAATTTATTCGACTTGTTTCGTTCTAGCACTTGACTGCAGAATTAGTCTGTTAATGAGTGATTCTAGAGGAAAATGTCGTTTTAGCTGACAATTTCAAAGTGTTCTTACGTTAAAAACATTGAGAAATAATTGCTGTGCTCGCATGAAAAAGCATTTTAATAGAGTGATTCGTTGAGTCATCAGAATCTCCGTCCAAATACGAACCAAAAAGAGAAAATTGGAGCAAGAGTTTGGGTACTCGAGTGAATTAAAGACTTCAAATTGATTAAGCAATGAAAATTGAAAAAGAAAAATTGATAAACCCCAAGTGACTGAGGTGGTGGTCTGTGATGAGAGTGACTTGACTCCGGGCCTTTACCACAACCCGTCGAGGGCAATTATCCTTAATTGACCGGGAATTGACCCCGTCGAACTCTCCTATCGTCGCCGCTCGTGAATTACAATTATTATTGCATTTGTATCGTGTTTATGAATGTACAAATCGAATAATTGAATTGTTCCGATAATTAGAAAATGTTAATATTGAGAATTCATTGACTAAATTTTGGAGAGGGAAAGAAGTGATGAAACGATATTATTTCATAACTCAAAAACAGCTAAACATAATTAAAGATAATTAAACACTTGACAATTGAGATTCATTTGGAATAAAATTCCATATTTCTGATTGAGCCCAGCTTTCTGATTGTCTTTTAATTATAAAAAAAGAACGAATCATCAAATGATTGGAATCGTGTGGATTTTTCCCTCTCCACCAGTCAATGATTCCAATGATCAATAATCAATACCACATTAATGGCTATATCCCCACAAATAATGAAAACCGAGTCATTCAGGGTAGCGCAGTAGTTCTTGTGTGATCATGAGTTATAATAAAATGTTAATTCGACTGATGCGAGTGACTGGTATTCAATGAATTGCCATCAAATCACCCAACGTCACCGATGAATATTCCAACATCATTAACAATGATTGATAATTGTAAATACGACTAATGTAACTTTATATATTTATAAAAAATGACATGTAGAAAGAGGAATAAAGATAGTGATAAATTTGAGTATAACCGACTCGTTTTAATCAGCTTGTGTTTGATTGATAAGACAATCAGCTGATAACTGTCAAATACGTCAGCTCTTTGGTGAATTCGATACTTGAGGAATGAATTAATATCGAGACGAGTGAATGGTATTTGGATGCAATGAGGCTGTGGTAAAAGCCAAGGTCTTCAATGTTTGCTTGTGGTACCGTGAGATGGCTGACAACGAATCAAGCTGAAATGGACAGGACAGAAGCTGCTCCCCTGACCAGTGGTAAGGATTGATAAACTATTTCCCAAAATAATCAACAAAAGCAATGACAGAAAGCCAAAATAACCGTTCAAACGAATCGCATGGGATTATCATTTATCAGGGGCACGATATCAAGTTCAAAACGAGAGGAATTGATCGCTATAACATTCACATTCAAAATTGTTGATGCGCAATGACGATGTGTTTACACTTTAACTTATGACTACTGTGTGCTGAATTTGTATCGGTGTAACGATGTTTTATTATTGGTGTAAGTTGTCACTCGAGTTTGTGTTTACATCGGATTTTGATGCGAAGGCCACCGGAATTGGTGGCAAATAGATTTTTTATTATTGACGTGAGATTAAAATGGTCAACAAAAATTCTGTGAAAGTTGGCGAATCCGCGGGGGATATTGAAGGCCGAGGGAAAAACACGAGGTAGATTTTATCGAGAGATTCCCATTTTTATGGAATTTACTATAATTTTTCGCGGGTAATTTTAATTAATCGCGAATTCAATGCAATTTAGGACCGAATTTTTAATGAAATTATAAATGTCATTATTTTTCCCCCCAAATAGAATTTCGGATAAATGCAGAAAACCTTCAGTTTCTCAGTTGAATTTTTAAGGAATATCTCTTTCTTGGAATAGCAGGTTTAATTTTATTCGATTTAAAAAAATCTATTTTAATGTTTCTCTTAGAAAGAAGATACGGCATTTTCAGAACAGGACTAGCAGCTGCACTAGTGTTAATTATCGTTGTTGCGGCTGCTGGTATTGCTCTTTTATTCGGAATAAGAAATGCAACAATTTTACTGGGGATTCTATTGCCACTTATGGTACTGAGTGCAGTAATTGCGCACCTGTGGCTCTGGTTGCTGCACAAACGTGCCGCAAAGAGACGAGAAAGAGCAGCGAATGAGTGGGTGTCTGCCACACTTGCAAGACAGGTTTGCACCCTAGTTTTTCCCCAATAAACTAATTACATTTCCAGCCAAAAATGAAAATACTGTTGCATATTATTGTCTTGTCACGCGCGACCGTTTCTACTTCCTGCATTTTCTATCGGTCATACTATATTTTTATCTGTTTTTGATTTTTTCCGCATTCCAATGTTATTCATAAAATAGAAATAATCCAAATGAGTTCAGGTGAAAACGATTTTTTTCAGTCTGAGAAAAAAAGTACATTTTCTACTGTTATGGTTTTTCCTTTAATGGAATGGAAATCGGAAGAGATGTTTCTTCTAAATTACTCATGCAAATGTCAAAATAGAAAAATTTTTATAAAGATCTTTTTTGAAGAGGAAATTGTGAACTGCAAAAAAGGTTATCATAGAAATTTTACTATTTCCTTTAGTGCAAGAGAAATTTTCGAAGAAACCACAGAGAACTTGAATGAACACCTTTGAATGAACACAGGTTTGCCACTTTACTGGAAATGTTAATTTTTAATGAGATTAAGAGTGACTTTTTTAACTTCAGAATCAGGGGCACATGTCCTCTAATCCAGACAGCGGAAATCCGGCTGATCCTTGGTTCAAAGGATTTTCTCAGCGATCGTCGGGATACACCCCACCCCCAGGATATCACATGGTCGAGTCGAGTAATTAATATTCTTTAATCTCTACAATTCTGGAGCGACGGTACTTAATTGTTTATTTAATTGACGGAATTTAATAAATATTTATTGAATATTTGACTGGTTTTATAAATATCCCTGTCTTTCTCCCATTTATCCAAATTTACCCAATGACTATTAATATTCCTCTCAAAACAAAAATACGAAAGAGGAACTCTCATTTTTTTGAGAGGAACGTTGAATAAAAAAACTAGAAAATCGAGGAGGATTTTACTGAATGAAGAAGAATCGTAGATCGAAATGTAGTTCGATAAAAAATTGTTCAATGGCGAGGGAATAATAAAATTTCCAAGCCATAGGATCGAAGAATCCCGGAAAAAATATCCCAGGAAAAAATATCCTACACATTCAAAACGTGTTAAAACTCGCTCAATTTAATTATTTTTTAATTTAATAATTTTTTTCGTTGTCTATTTTTTTAGGGGCTCTAATTTTCCTATGGTCTATCAAATTGGGTGGGTTTTAACACGTTTTGGGTGTGTGGGCTATTTTTTCCGGGGATATTTTTTCCGCCTACCAGGATCGAATGTTAACCTAAAAAGTAAAGTAAAAAGTAAAGTCTTGTTTAACTGACTCACCATTTCTGGTAAATACTCCTGATGTCGAGGGAAATCCAATTATTCACAAATGAGTCTTTAAAATATTAATCACACACTGAAATTTGGTTATTATCACTCCACATGTGTTTTTGTCCACATTTGTCTGACACATCACTTATTTTTCCACAATTTACCATGAGTTAATGCACTGAACCTTTGTTTACGTTTGTTCAACTGAACCGCGGGTTGTTTATGCTCCCTGGTGCAACAATTTCTATGTATTTTTTATGAAAACACGAGCATGGAAAACACAAGTCTCCACAAGTCACGCACCAAAGACGATTGACTAAAGTAAAAATGGCGTCAGTTAGGAGCTCGCGCATGCGTTGCTTGACTGATGGAACGTTTACACATGCGCAGACACTCGAGAGCACCAGAGCACTAGATGATTTAACCTACACCGGTGGACCTTTCTATGGAAAAATTAACTATAATTAACAGAAAATTCAATCAACACCAACGAAAAACAGAGAAATAATGATTTTGTGAGTTTTTTGAGGCAGATATTAATCAAGAGTGAAATTGTCGTCGCAGATAATTATGATTCAAGGGTGAGTTCACAAAATAATCTACCGGGACCTCACCGAAAACGCGCATTTCACTAATTTTCTCTCATTTGTTCACGTCAATAATGAATAAATCGATCATTAAAAAATAAATAACTTCTAGTTTTCTCTAGAATTGTTCAACTATTCAATTGTTCATCCGCTCTAATGTTCAAAAGAGATTATTGCTTGAAAAAAAAAACAAACAAACATTTTTTCAGATACAAAACCCTCTGCTGCGTGGGGTCTCGACTGTCCCCAGTGTTATCTTCACGTTTTGCCTCGACTCTGACAAAACCAGAAGCCAAAAAAAATCGAAATGATCTCTTCGAATCGGAGAAGCGTCGCCAGGTCGCATCAGTGGGTAGAATCGAGAAGATCAAGGTGATTTATCACGGGCCAGAGGATGAGATCACTCTCCTCATGAACAAGGACCTGTCAACGCCCCACGACTGTGCGATGCACATTTCCGATGGTGTCACCAAGACATCAGCCCTGGCCTCAGTCGATGGAGCTCCTTGGGATCTTCACAAACCATTAGTATCAGACTGTAACCTCATACTCTCCAGCATGCGAACTCCAAACGACAGATCAGTAAACAACGCCTTTTGGAGGACGTGTTCTCTGATGCTGGGGGCTGTCGTTGATTCAGCCTTCAAGGACGACATCCCTTGCCACCTCCACAGCTTCACGTCACCAAATATCAAGTCTGGGAGTTTCATTTACGATGTTCACCTGGAGTTGCCTGATTGGAATCCTACGGAGGCTGAATTGCGATCATTATCCAGTCTTTTTACTAAACTCATTCGTGAGGAACTCCCAATTGAGCGTTTGGAGATTGGAAAGGACATGGCTTTGGAGATGTTTCAAGAGAATCCCTTCAAAACCAAACAGATCCCTAATATTGCGCAGAACAACGAGGGGAAGATCGTGGTCTATCGAGTTGGGGATCACATTGACATCAGCAAGGGGCCAATGATTGGCAACACTAGACTCGTTGGCAGATGCACGATTGGCGCTATTCATAAAATTCAGAATGACGCGGGGGAGAATCTCCACAGGTTCCAGGGCGTTGCTTTACCCAGTGGAATAATTGTTAATCATGTCATCTATGGGCTCATGGAGGAGAGGGCCAAGAAGTTCAATCAGACCGTCTGGATGCCTCAGAGATTGGATCACGAGGATTCTGTTGCTGTTGCTGCTAACAATTAAGCGATTTTTCATGGTAATTGTGTAAATAAAATCAGGTCGAACACTTCAGAGTTCTATAGTTATTTCTGTAAAGATTAAGTAATTAATTCAAATGGAATTGTTTTTAATCAGTTGATACCGTTCAATGGTATTAATCTCTCCCCGAAAATGTTCACATGATTTTTTTTTTATTAATTGAATCTATACGTCCATCGATTTTTATCCCATACAACATGAGTTTAGAATTAAAAATTAAAAATACGACATACAAGAATGTATAATTGAAGCTCCCCATCACCATCTTGGAAAAAAAAACATCAAGAGGGCGATTTTTCATGTCGTGCCCTTTGCTCCCAGACGAAGTGACCAGGCAATCTATTAGCGATAGAGGCTGGACAGTTGACTGTCATCTTGAGGTACATTTCAGGATTGTGAGAGAATGGTCGACTGTTGTCAACGTCATCACTTTTGAGGATGGGTCTGATGATGAGGGGTGCGAGTTCAGGTGAACAGCGAAGTTCGATTCCAATGACGAGATCGTAAGTAGGAAATGATCGGTGATCCTCAGACACTTGCTCCGGGTACTCCTGATACTCCTCGGATTCACCTGGTCGATGCCACTTGGTTGCGTATGCCTGTCGATTCATGTTGCCATAGTAGAAGAATTGTCCACCATATTCTCCATATCCTGAGTAGGTCGAGGGTAGAGTGAGCTTTGGTGTCACAGTTGTTCTCGCTTGAATAGAAATTTCTCGCTCGAAGTGAATTCTCTCGTAGTAATGCTCGTTTACACTTGCCACTAGACGACGAAGACGCAGGTACATGAATCTCTGCTCGTCACGCCACGAACTCTCCTCCATTGTGCAGGGAACTTGCAGGCACGTGAACCATGCACGACGCATTGTGTACTGCAGGTGCATGCAGACGATACTGTCCCGATTTCCACGACGTGGAGTTACCCGGAAGGAGAGCAATTGGCGACCCTCTGTCAGGCAGTCTAGGATGTCCACTGCCTTGCATCCAGAGACGAGGGGAGATCTTTCGAGGGATGAGACACGTTTTAGGGTGAGCGAGACATTTTTACCATAATAAAAGGACCAATGGGATAGTTGTAAAAAAAATAATACAAAAAATTTAAAAAAATCTTTGTCTCTTTCTCGTTTTGATTTGTGAGTGCTATCGAACCTGTTGTATTTCCTTTCCGAGACTTTTTCGAAGTAATACATGAAGCGTTTGCAGACATTGCAGAATTCCAGGACAACAATGTCTGATCCATTGGGTCCAAAGAGAGCGGCTGGGTGACTTTTAGCGAGATAGAGAATACGATTGAGCTGGTGTAGAAGGCCTCCAGGGTAAAAGCAGAGTCTGGGGAATCTCTCGGGACGTGGGGGATGGGTGTAACGCCAGGTGACAGCCCGAAGGAGGCGATATTGCAGGCGTACTAACTCCAGGCAGTTGAAGGCTTTCGTGAAGAGTAGGAGATCCGTAGCATTTTTAACAGTGGAGATTCGCTCCTTTACGTAGCACAAAGCTGATTCCAATCGTTGACCAGCTGAGAAGAATGCACCATTTAACAGAGAATGGGCAACTAATTGACAGTGTCTGAAAATTGAAGAGGCGAGAGCGTTAATTTAGTGGATTATATTTTTTCAAGAGTTAAATTATTCAGATTGAATGAGATTTGTTATGTATTTATTTATATTTACCTCGAAACAAGCCGAAAAGTTCCAGCAACCACTCGCAGCGGCAAAAACGTAAGAATGATCTCCAAAACCTCCGGGGGAAGTGTCTCGAGTGTAAAAACAACTTTGGTCCTGACATTCTCCGTAATCTCCGAGCATGACGATAACAATTTTCTCCTCTTACTCGCACTCATTTAAATCCCGAGGAAACCCCCAAAAAGTTGCCTATACGAATAAAATACAATTCCCGGTCAATAAAACAAATATTCTTTGATTTTCACAGTCTCAGAGACCCTCAGAGCTTTTCCACACAGTTTAAAAGTTCACAAACACGTAAAAATCTCGTAAAAGTTAAAATCCCGGCTCTCAGTTCACAAATTAGACAGAACAAATGACGTTTAATTAATTTCCCGATTATCTTTCCAAAATGAACATTAATAGCAACATTCACTGTTGTCGATCTATAATTTAGACACAAATAATCCCACGATTACTTTAAAAATTCCAAAACTAGACAATTTTTCCCCCTCAAGTTTTTAAGAAAAAAAAAGAAAAAACCATTTATTTGTCTCCGCAATTTGTTGACAAAATCCAGTCGATATCGATCGATTCGAGGATTTAATGCTTATGCGGGAAAGTTCACAGGCATGAGAAGTGTAAATTTCGTTTGCTCCATCGATGACTCTTCAGCAACGTAAGCACTGATGCTGTCCAGGAGATTTTGCACGTCATTTCGATTGCTTGGATGTTTTCTCTTCGTGTGTTCACGACGATGTTTTAATTCCTTAAATGTTTTTCCACATTGTTCACAGACGTAGGGCCTCGCGGCTTCGTGTGAACGCACATGCCCATCGTAATGGCTCTTCCTGACGAACTTCTTTCCACATCTGGAGCAGCCGAACTGAAAGCGGCCCTCATGGGCAGCCACGTGAGAGCTCAGGGTCCACTTCGTCTTGAAGGTCTTCGCGCAGTAATCGCACCGGATTTTTCCATCTGAAGTCGTTGTTGATTCGGATTTCACTGGGAGGCGAGGGCCTTTGTTTATAAGGAGCATCTCCTCGAGGAGAAAATCATCATCGTCGTCCTCTTCCATTTTCACTGGGGTGGGTTCCGCTTTGGACTCTAGAGCCTCTTGGGCCTCGAGGATACTCGTTGTGTGCTCCTTCATGTGTGTCTCCAGTTTTTCCTCATTTTCGCATTGCTGACCGCACAGGGCGCAGATATTTGCTGATGATTTCTTATCGTGAGAGGAAACATGTGCCTGGAGTTTACAGAACTGCGTGTACCTCTTCTTGCACAAATGGCAGGGATAGCTCTTGACTTCACCACTGGCTCCTTCCTCACCACTTCCGGCTTTAGCATGAGTTTTCATGTGTCGCTGGAGAACCAGATCATTGATAAAACTCTCTCCACACTGGCCACAAGTGCGAATCTCTGTCTGCGAGGGTTCACACAGTCTCTCCTTTCTCGTCTCGTGTCTCGCAATATGACGTTTAAGGTCGTGAGCCCTCGAGAAGGCACGTCCGTATCGTGAACAATTGGGAAAGGGACAGCCTTTGGTCTTGTCTGCCTTTTGGAGAGCAGCTGCTAGGTGTGGTTTCAGTGCAACTGCTGGAGTTGTCGGGCACAGGCTGACTTCAACTGACTGGGAATCAGAAGTTGTCTCGGATTTGTCAATTGCCCTCTCGGAATCATTAAATTCCTGGACACGTTCCACCGTTGTCAACTGGGCTGACAGTGGAATTACGATGGAAATTGTCTCGTTGGAGATGGGGTGGACTATCGATGCAACACGAATCGTCGGTGGGGCTAAAGTTATCGACTCTGTCTCCATTCTGTTAGGGAAATAATTATAAAACCGTTATAAATACTCAGCTAATCATCTGTGGATTAACTGAGTCGTTTTTTCTGATTTCTAAAAGAAAATTTCTCTGAGATATTTTTCGGGTGGAAATTTTTAATCAATTCTCTTTGAGATGAGGAATCTATGGTTTTCGAAACTGCTTCTAATGGAATAATTTTCATTAGAATTCGTGAATTAACACTCCACTCTGAATTATTGTTTATAAAAAACCACGTGGGCGATTTTTTTGTGCAATTGAACAAATCCTCAGGTTTAATTTTCAATCTCATTTCCTGGCATCTCGACCCCCCAAAATCAAGAAAATCTATTTATCATCTTTTTTTAATCGACTGCAGTAATGAAAATAGGGAGAATAGAGTTGATTAGAATTGCACGAACCTCTGCAAATCCAAACACAAGAATAATTCTGATATTTATAAAAGTCGGTGTTGCACCCCGAAGAAGGCAACGATCGATGGTAAACTGTCGGCGATTGGGCGGCACGAATAGCCAACATACACATCAATATACATGAAATTATTTTAACATCCAATTCCCCAAAAAATTCCGCCTATTCCCATTTTTCTGGAATTGACTTCCCCCTATATCCTACCAAAATAAAAAAAAAACATTCAAAAATCATCATAAACAATAAAATCTGGAAAAACCCGACAGGAAATGAGATAGAAAAAAAATAGAAAAATATCTATTTAGATGAAATTCAGGGGATGATATTTCAAATAAATCTGATGATCATTCAGATATAAATCTCACATTCTGCGGTGGAGTCTTTGTCGAAATTTCAGAGGAAAACTTGAAAGAGGAATTTTCCCACGAAGTATGTGAAGTCTATTTCGATCTGCAGCCACAACTGGATGGATTGAGGAAAAAAAAATGGAAATCTCACTTGGTATCCACTCTCAATCACGAGTATATCGATACTTTTACTTTATTCCGATGTAATGGAAGAGTACATCCGAGTTATTCACTTTCCTCGGTGGGATGAAAGTGTGCTACTGATGTCAGTGTACCTCACATTACAGCGCAATCTCCCTCTTCGGGGTATGTGCAACCTCCACCCACTATTTCCTTCAAAAATAGGGACGTAGTCAGATGGATAATACCCTGTACTTCCCTCCAATACTTCTACAGACCACATTCATTCTAAAAAAAAAATTAAATAGATCAAATGAATTTTATCCACTTCCAATCACAATTCAAATGTCAAAATAAAAAATCTGTGATCTTCTAATAATTTTTGTTAATTAATTTAATTAACATAACTGAGTTAATCGATTAAAAAGAATGAGCATGAGAGAAGGAATGAAATTAACTGATGCAGTATTTAATAATAAAAAATCTTTAAATCGCGTACTTAAAACGGGAAAGTACTCGATCATCTTTAATACCCATCTTAGTCAAGTGTTAATTGACCCATTAATTGTCACCTCCGTCAAATTACCTCGCCATTAAATTAATCTCTGATCTCAATAATAGTGTCACGAATGACAAGGCGCGTTCATCTGATTTATGTTCAGTGAAAAGAAATTACTTCATTAAATTTACAATAAGAAAATGTAAAAATTCATATAAATGTTAAGATTCATTCATTTCTCCCAAACACATTCAACTGACAGCAGTAATTCTTTTTAATGAGTTTTTTGAAGATGATTTAACATGACGACTATGACACTCCCATTTGCGCCCCAAGAGAATCTATTTCTCCTAGGCTTTAATCAACTAATGCTGCGGATAAATGACCGTTTATAGTCTTCGTATTTTTTTAATAGCACTTACATTCATCCGAGTCCATTATCCATTTAATGATATGTATTTGTCAGGTAGTTGACGAGTTCATCAGATAAATAGAGGAAAAAACTGTAATTGCTGGCAATGCCAAAGAAATGGGCACTTTTTCAATTAAGGAGAATGCCATATTTTTTCGACTAAATTGTCCAGTTGTTCATTACATTTTTTAGTTTATTGTCAGCAACACCTGTAGGTGATACCCATTTTCATGTATTTTGTAATCATCTTTAGAGTTGATTCCCATAATTTTTCATTAAACCCCTAGAAATGTTGATTAAATAATTAATTTACTAATTTTTCCAGAAATTTGAATAGAAAAATTGAATAGATATTGGATTAATAGCGAATTGGTGGAATGGAAATTAATTTGGATTGCGTCAAGAGTCAAAACTCTCTAGATACATTCCGCAATTACCGAGTTTCGGTGAGAGCACTAAGAGCATCCCCTAAGCTAATTATCTGCGAGTACAATCAAAAGCCTAATAATAATACTCGGTAAACTCACTCACGTTTCCAAAGTGATGCACCCAATATTATCACAAATAAACACCTAGTGACGCAATTCCTGTATTCACCGTATCGAGAACCCTCGAAGAATACATCCAATTGAAAATATTTACACTCCAATAGATCCCAAGATTTTCTTTTGAAATTATAGAGGATTGCTCCTGCATAGAAACCACCGACTGTGATAATTGCAACAGCAATTACGCAAACATTTCCTTCAATGAGAATTGCCTGGACTCCCATTAACGCTGTAAAATGAATATTAAATATTAATTTCCTGTCCAATTGAATTTTTTAACCGATGCCCTAGGTGTTCCCATAAAATTTCCACCACGAGATTAACAAATAATAATTTATTTTGCATTATTAGAACTACATAACGAGAAGAAATCATCTCCAGTCGTTTTCGTTTGATTTCATTGTTTTTTTAATCCAGTCCACGTAGTACTGGACTTTGGTGTAGACATCAGGAAATCCAGGACGAGCGCAACCAGAGCCGAAGGATGTGATACCCGCGAGCTGCCAGACTCCATCGGATCTGCGGCATTGAAGAGGTCCTCCTGAATCTCCCTGAAATAATTACGAAATCATCGTGAGATTATACCACTGATAACTCATTGATTAATAATTTATGAAGCACCAATTAAAATGAATCGATAAATAATGATTTTAAAGAATGGACTAACGACACAACTTCCAGAAGACCCATCAGTGTGTCCAGCGCACAGATGTCCTTTCCTCAGGTACACAGAACTTCCATACGCCTTTTTACACTCTTCAATATTTAATAATGGAATTTTGGCCTCAAGGAGAGCATTGGAGAGTGAAGGCGATGGTCCAGACCTGCCCCAACCAGATGCAACGCAATTAGTACCTGATATTTTCTCATCAGCTTCTGGCAAACATATCGTCCGGATGACTTTGGAGAGTGGTGCTGGTCTGCTCAGCTTCATCAGAGCTGCAGTTCATTGGAATTAATACCGTGTGTTAATTAACGTGATCGATAGTTGTACAGATGTTACCAATGTCATGAACGTAATTGTTGAACTGCTCGTGAATAAATATTCGGTCAATGGGAATTCTGGCTGATCCACGATTTCCAGAGTCGAGCTCCCATTCACCAGCTACTGCTGTCCAGAGAGCGCCGATTGGAAGATTGAAGAGATCACTTGGGGAGCAGAATTAATGATTTAATTATTATCTGGATGGTGATTTAGTCGGGGTTTTTAAAGGCGTACTTGTGAATACAATGGGCGGCAGTGAGGACCCACGACTTCTCGATCAGGACTCCACCGCACCAGTGACCAATGAATCCTAGTTTTGGGTGCAAAAGCTGCAAGGATATTTGCCACGGCCACGAGCCCTTTTTACTCGGTTTACCGTTGAATATTCTCCCTGTGGTTTTTGTCGTGGATATTCGTCTCGGTTGAATTTCTTCTCTGGGTTGCCTCTGCGAAGCTGCGGGACGACCGCATTCTACCATTCAAAAATTCAATCTGTACGGCTCGCGCCGCCACCACCCGAATAATTCCGAATCATCGCAATTTTGGAAAATGAAAAAATGACGCGACAAGTGCTTGGACTGGGAGTAATTAATTTTTCAGAGGATTTGTAGAGATATTTTCACTGAGTCATTAACAAGGAATTAATTGACAGTTCCACTTTGCAATCGGGCCAATGAAATTTTCATCGGAATGATAGGATCAGGAGCACCCGGAGTCGCAGGGTGATAACAAAAAATAAAGATTCTTGAGGAGAATGAGGATACTCGGTCGCGAGATCGTTACGGCGGATAAATTCGGTGAAATAATGGCTCTTGAAACTTACCCGGATGATCAGCACGATTGTCCCTCATCATAGCACTCGATATTTCTGTTCCACTCAGGACAAAACAGATCACCAATATTCCAGCATGGAAATCCATCCCACAATTTTTTCTGCACGTCAGATGTAAATGATAATAGAACTCGTAATAAAAATGGTCCAAAAAAAAAAATGAATTTTCCAAAATATCTTTTGCAGAAACAGAAAAAATTAATTCTCACAAAAATTTCATAAAATTCCAATGAAATTTCAAGAGAAAATCGAGTATTCGTGTAATAGTAATCGTGTATTTGCGGAAGTGCCAAGAGTTTCTGTTCAATTCTTTCGCAAGTATCCCCTTGAATTTCAGAATATTTCTTAAAAAAAGACTTACCTATTGGAAAATCGAGTAAATTGCTTTAGTTTTATCACTTCACTGTAAATCCTTTCAGTTTTTCGCGGCAAAAATTAATCGAACGAATCCATTCCCGGGAAAACACGACTTTTAAATCTCCGGTTATTATTTTTGGCTGAAAAGTGAATCAATAAAAAGAAACTCCTGATAAACCCAACTCGTCGCCCTGGTGCAGCTGAAGAAAGTGATCGAGAGTTGACTTTGCCGATCTTTCTAGCCCGGGCAACGAGTGGCGATTGGTCTGGACCCAATGGACGTTTCTTACTATCTTAACTTCGAAAGTTATACGAAGTTCCCGCTTAGTTGTTTTCATTTTGTCCTTTTTTTTGTATTTATACTCCCGTACGATCTGTTGTAGAAATAGTGGGAGATCATAATCCTTTTTGCCTCTAAAGAGGTAATTAAATGGTTTTAATTGGGTCAATGTTGTATCAATATTAATTTAGAAAGAATGATATAATAAATATGTGCAACTCTCGTGTTTAGTATTTTTTTGTTGCCCTGGGGATTTGAAGTATGAATTTTCGCGGGTTAATTATAAAACGACTTTTATGGGATTGATCTTAAAAAATCTAGACAATTTCATGACCAACGGAGAAATAATTCTCCGCTCTCGAATTTAACGGCTCGGGAAATTGACACTGCGATCTTGTCCCTGAAATCTAACAGTCGACCCTTCGGTATTAATTAATTAAAATTCCGAAATAAAGAGAACAACCGAATTGTTTAATAAATAAAGCTCCTTCCATAACATAAATCATTCATTCCCGACTTTTTAGGTCAAAAGATTGAACTCGGGTGAAAAATTATAATACCAATCATCGAGCGCAATTGAACCATAAAAGTAACGTTCCAATTTGTCTGATTTTTAAATTCGAATTTCCCGGCAGAAACTCCTAACAATGAGATCAAAGAAAGCGTTGATAATCAATGACCACTCGTTATTATTAAATTTAGTTGATAAATACACAGTGCAAAGGGAGTTTAAAAGGATTCGAGAAAGTGAAACCATGATTTAGCTGAAGAAAGGAAGAGCCACCGTTGAATATTCTCCACGGGACTGACGTTTTCTCATTACAATAAAACCATGAGAACATTAAAAGCCCGTGCAATTATCCCGTGTGTCTAGGAAAAACTAGACAAACGGGTTCGTCAATGTGCGGCTCGATATTTTTATGTTTTCTTCCTATTTTAATTATTTACTTTCGCTTCGATACGCATCGGTGAATTATCAGTAGCTCTTAGCACCGCTGAATCCAGTGATTAGAACAATATTTATGGACTCAGCACTCAGATATAAAGATCTTTGGGTTTTAGTTCTTTTTTTATGAGAAGGAAGAAACTGGGGAATTAAATCCGATCCGTTGTGTTCAGAATAACATTCCGTTTTATGGGAAACACAAAGGAAAACTTTCCAGTAATTTTCTTTCACCCCATATTATTATCAATCATTTCGCGGGAAAGTTTAATATTTCTGGAAAAAGATATCTGTCCAAAATGTCCGAAAATTTTTCGTTATTAAAATATCGACTGAGCGCAATCAATAAATTCTCATTGAGAATTTGGGGAAATCTCACAATTTGATAACAAATTGAGAGAAAGGTTCAGAATGAAATTATTGAGTTGAGAAAATTAATCTGATATCTGAAATTCGTCGAAAAATCCTGAAGTTGCATTTTTTACTTGTTCCAAAAATGTATCTATGAATTTCGAAATGCACCCTTTTTGAATACAGGGTTGAAACATGCGCATAAGAATCTGAGCAGCACCATCGCTATTTGTGGCGGGAAAATTGGCAGTGAAAAGCTGTCCAAAGCCATTGAAATCAATTCGAAATAATTTTTCCATTTCTGCATGAAAATCAAAGCCAATCCGCCATCAAAAATCCACAATTTCCATCGAATTATTTTTATTCTCAATAAATAATAATCGATTGAGTGATTCTCAAACCAGAGAAACGAATCATGAGTCCAACGATTGGAGCGAAGGATAAGGTTAGTCTACTCGCGTAAACATAAAATTATCTCATTGCTGAGTGCTCCCCACATTTGTTTAATCACTTCATAATTTTCCAGCCTAAAGACCAAGTTATTGAGGGCAGAGTGACGAGAAGTTCTATTCGACATCTTCCAGATAATCTCAAAAAGGTAATTAATTCCGAAATAATTTAATATCTCCATGTGCCAGGGGATTTTTCAAGAAGATTAATTGATTACCATTCAATAAACAATTTAGTGATTGAATTCTGTTCGTGTGTTCGAAGGAATTCCTGAAGGAGGAGGAAGTGGATAAAGATCCGATAATCGAGGACTTGCCACCGATTTTGTTCACGGGAAAACTGTATTATGTCACGGATTTTGAGGGTTGTGCTATGCTCTGCGATCAAATTATGTAAGAGAATTTTCGATTTTTTAACGGATGAAATTTGGAGGTTGTACTCGTTTACTGGGATAAATGAGATAGAAAAATCTACTGAATTTATTACGAAATTCTGGATTTCTTTCCGTCGATTGCGTCTAATCGGATTTTCTAGGATTTTTTGGGAAATTTTTTCGACAGCCTGATGGTAGATTTTTTTTTAGAGAGAGAATTGAGAAGCATCCTGACGTGATTGTACCAATAGGATTCGATTTGGAGTGGCCTTTCAGTTTTCAAACTGGTTCTGGCAAGACTGCACTGGCACAATTGTGTGTTTCGGAAAATACTTGTCATTTACTGCATATTCATGGGCTTGATAAATTACCCAAGGGGTTAATTGTGTTGCTGAGCCATCCGAGAGTAAAATTGGTTGGTGTGAACATCAAGAAGTGAGTTTTTTTCGCACGTCAATTGTTCATTTTTGTTCTGAGACTTTCTCGTCTGTAGAAGAAATTATAAAGAATGAATTCAATTTTAACCGAAGTCTAATGGAGTTTTCTGGCAAGTGGTGTTCATCAATATTTATGATTCCCAGTGACATTTGGAAACTCGGCCGAGACTTCAAGGAATTTCCCTCGAAACAAGTAGTAGATAATAATTGCATAGACTGTGGTCCCTTCGCCAACGAAATCTACAAGAGATCCTGTCGGTGGAGTTTGGAGCGTCTCACCGCTTACATATTAAAAAAGAAAATAAGTAAAGATGACAAAGTTAGAAAAAGTAAATGGCACATTCTCCCACTCAGTGAGGAGCAGAAAACTTATGCAGCCACTGACGCTTACGTAAGTGTCTCAAATCCCTTCATCCTCTCAAAAAATCCAGTGCACAAAGACCTAATTCATGAATTTATTCCAGGTCTCACTACTACTGTATCTGACGATCCAGAAGAAGGCGAGGGAATTGACTCTAGAGAAAGAAAAAATTCCTAATCCCCAAGAAAATTGATTCTATGGGATAAAATTCTACGACAAAGCTCTACATTTTAATCGAACAAAATAAAAATGAAGAAAAAACTCGTGAAAATTTTGTGGGCAGGACGAATGTGTTATCAATCGGGTCTGCACTTGCAGCACCAATTATCAAAACATCATCACGATCCAGATCTACCTTCAGACTATCCTAGAAACTCTCTCATTCTGATCGAACACAATCCAGTCTACACCGTGGGAATTCGCCACAAGGATTACACTGAAGAGGACATAACAAATTTAAAATCTACTGGTGCGGAATTTCACAAGACAAATCGTGGGGGATTGATCACATTCCACGGACCAGGACAACTAGTTGTCTATCCTATAATAAACCTGAGGGATTTTCAACCGAGTGTCAGATGGTATGTCTGCCAGATCGAGAAAATGATCATAAGACTTTGCGCTGAATTTGGAATTAAAGGTGAAACATCACCAGATACTGGGGTATGGGTTCGTGATAAGAAAATTTGCGCTATTGGAATTCATGGGAGTCGATATGTCACGACTCATGGACTCGGACTCAATTGTAATACCGATTTGAAATGGTTCGAGCACATTGTGCCTTGTGGAATTGAGGGGAAAGGAGTCACGAGTTTATCTAGGGAACTTGATACCGATGTTGGAATTGATGACGTTATTCCGGTCATGAAGAATGCGTTTAGAGAGGAATTTCAGTGTGAGATTGTGGATTTTGATAGGGGAGATGCTTCCGGGTATTTGAGGAAAGCTGTGCAAGCAGCTGAAAAGATCTGATAGTGACGTTTTTTAGGAAATTAGAAGTTTTTAGATTAATTGTTTAAATTGTGATTGTTGTATTCTCATTGGGCTGGATGAATTTTTTTTCATTCGAAAGAATGGTGGAATACGAAAACTGAATGAAAAGTATTAAATATTTTCATTCAATTTTCGTATTTGACAATAAAAAAAATTCATACAAAATCCAAATTGAGGCCATGAACGCATGATAATTTTGGAAATGATTGACTTTAGAGTGTAAATGACATGAGAATGATTTTTTTTAATAGTGACTGAAGAAAAAATGGAGTTTTATGATTTTTATGAGATTGAATATTTGTTTGTGAAATTTGAGAAGTGGAAAAATGATGTTTTGTTTTAAATCTGAGTTTTGTTAATTGATAAGTTTTTGGGATTATAAGAAATTGCTCAAAGACTAGTTAATCTGTAAATTACAATATATTATCGACAGTGTCTTTTTCAAGCAGTGATAATAAATAAAGAAAATAAAAAATTCATTTTATTCATTTTAATGATAGATCTCTGGGGATTCTCCACATAACATAGAAAGAATATTTTTTCAGCAGCTCAGATAATTCCCCAATAAATATCCAATATACTCTCAGCTCTAGCCCACATCTCATCAAAAATAAAATAACTGTTTACAGCTTAAACGTTCATTTAACTCTAAATAACATCACAGCCTAGATTAAGGCCAAGCAATACAAAATTAATTTTGTCCAGTACTTTTTGTTCTGTACAAGCTGTAACTTTTCAGAACCAAAATATAGATTTTTTCATAAAAAAAAAACTCCAAATTGCATTTCTGCTTGATATAATCACTTCAATAAAAATAATTTTCATGACTTCGCGAAATAATGAAGGAGTAATGAAAAAAAAAAAACTACATTTTACTGACTAGGTAACGAAAAACAAGTCTTAATCTACAGAAAAGAAATAAAATCTCAATTTTCTGTTTGCAAAAGATTCAAAAGAAAAAAGAAAATCAATTCTCTGCAAAAAACCATTTAGGCTGGAATCAAGTCATTCACATTCCCAATTTCATCACTGAATTTCATTTCTCAAATGGAAAAAAAAAATATTTTCCTTTGGAAAAAGTTGGACAAATATGAAAATTAGCGTTTGCAAAATGATAACTCCAATACTTCAGAGTTTAAACGATTCCAGTCGATTTCGCATTCAATCGCAAGCGAATAATTCATATAGAAAAATAAAAATCCATAGGCATATCTCTATTAAATAATAATTTAAAAACTACATATTTAATAGAAATGGCCGCAAAAAATTATAATTTCTCTATAAAATATATTTAAACTTACCAACTCAAACCGTTTTGCCCGTCGGCTACCGAATAAATTTTGAATTCGCGTGAAAAACTAATCCGTCAAGACACGAAGGTACCTGTCATTGTACAGTTCATTAGTGAGTGTTCCAGTGATATTGACAGCGTTATGAAGTGAATTAGCCGAGTCCCTGATTATTCTAAGAGCCGCCTCGACATCTCCCCTCAATTCCGCATATTGTTTATTGCAAATAAGTGCTTCAAGGCACTGAATACCCTTGACAGCATCAGCATTAGGCCTTATCTCGAGTGTATCCACCTCATTGCTCCTGAGCGGTGCAATACCAGGTGAATGAGGAGTGAAACGTACGATTTGCTGCTCCGATTTTGAATCTGGCAGCTGTGCGAGGCAGTAAACACCGAGTGCACGTGCTAGAAACTTGCATCTGCAAAAAGAAAGTGAATTGAGCGTTTTACGATTTTTCCCCCAGTTGAATGAAGAAATGAATGAGTGAAAACACGTTAATGCCTCACCTGATCGAAAGCTGTGAGCCTTTTCTGATGCCAATAGCACCCAGAATTCCCCAGCCTTGACCCACGTCATCGGCCATTGTTAATAAGGCACGAGCAAGTTTTTTCAGGGAACGTGCTGCTATTATCGTATTCTCACTGTATTGACACTGACGATACGATAATTCAAATGCTTTCGCCCATAATAAAGGTAATTTCGATTCAATATTCTCCCTGAAAGCGAGGAAAACATTATTTCTCCCTGTATTCACTATTTTATCATCTCAAGTTTTCTTCGTCCTCTCATAGAAAAATTGAGGAAGTCAATTCTTTCAATCAACTCACATCGGTTTAATAGCTGAAATCCAATCAATCAAATTGACCAGCATCATGCCCTCTTCCCTGATATCCCTGCAGGAGGGAAGTCTCTTCATCAAAACAGCATAAAGCGACAGAAGTCTACCCTCCGCTACGAGAACTCCCTCGACAGGTGGTTGCCTGGGCACAACAGGTTGTAAAATTCCCAGGACAGTGATCCACGTTGGATCCAGATCGTCCGTAACACTGTGATTGAAATAAGCCCCAAGAGCTGCCTCCATGATCTCCCCCAGGGTCGACGGTGAGGCGACAGCAATTCCAATGACCCTCAGGATACCCAGGAGAATTGGAGATGAGGCAGTCTTGTCAGCCAGCCAATTTGCCCAACTTGTTCTCAACTGCTCCACCAAAACTCCACTCTGATTGACCGAATGCAGGAGCTCGGTGACGAGAAGACCAGCCTCAGCTGCTTGCTGAGCCTCTGATACTGTGCTAGTTATCACCATCTCCATTTCACTGAGCATTCTCGATAATGCCGATGTGAAAGCCTTCATATTCGTTGATACCAGTGACTTGTGCCTTGTTGTGCAATTCACGAGGAGTTTCACAGACGAGCGCACGTACATTTGGCGTTTTTTCAGGGTCGTTGGGTGGAAGTGTGTCACCGATGGGTCATAGGCCGCCACCACTTTCAAGAGACTGTTTTGACAGATCATTTGTGGCACATGTGAGTATTTGTGAATGGCATAGGGAATTGAGGCTTATGGTTTGTTTCAGATTTATGGGTGCCTCTTTACGGAGGAGGATTTCTAATTGGGGAAACTTTGAGGGAGAAAATAACGACGGTCATGGGTTCATTCATCTTTTCCCTCAGTTCGCCTCAAAGATCTAATAAAAAAGTTCTATAAAGATTTTCATTGAAAACTGGCCAAATAGCCAGAATTTATGTGAACCTTTTGCGTTTTTCATTCTTTTCCGAAAAAAAAAAATTTCGAGAATAAATTGACTGTCACTATTCAATTTGGATATATTATCTGAATATTGTATTGGCCTTTATGTTTTCCTCGGAAAAATCGGGAATTCGAAAAATGAATAATTGGTAAGAAACTGAAAATTGGAAAGCCAGAACTTACTTATTAATAGCAACGTCAATCGGATGAACTTGATCCCCAGGATAAGATAGAATAACTCGTGGATCACAGCTCATCACGTGCCAGTTTATCACTTGATCATAGGCCGTTGCATCAACCAAGTACCAAGCGAATTTTTCAGCGTCTATTACTATTTGAATTGCTTTATCATTCTGAAAGAAGGCGTCGAATTATTATTATTCGATCCACTCAAAGTGTGGATTAGCATTTCCTTTTCACAACCGGAAATAATTACTGATCCTCACCTGACGGACATTAGGTTCATTCGACAGCTTAACCATTAGATTCAGAACACAGACATGCATCCTAGCAGTAACAACCAACGGCTGTGAATTTAATACGTCAGTGATCCAAAGCCCCCAGTTAACTGAACTGAAGACACTGCCCAAAAACAGATGACTGTCTGGTAAATACTGATCAACAACCCTGACCATGAACTCGACATCACCAACGCCAGGTGTAAACCTGTCCCAAGGAAGTGACAAAAAATTTCCATGCACCACATTGAGGATGTGATCTTTGACTGAGGCATGTGCATAATTATTGACATAGAACTGCCAAAGGAATCCCAAGATTTTGCTGGAGGCTGGCATAGTATCAATGATAAACCTGACACACTCAACGAACATGGCGACAGTTCTATTGGCATGAGGTCCATCAGTGATGATCCAGGGTACAAGAACAGATCTGTCATCAGTGAGCTGTTGAATCCAGGCAGCAGTGGGTTCCCTGAGATTCCTGGTCCAATAAGGTGTCATCCAGGGTGCAAACATGTCACTGAGCACCGGCCAAATCTTCTCACAAAGCTGATCAGCAAGTGATCCCCTGTCAAACTGAAGTGTCAGCACAACCAAAGCATGTCCAATCATCCCCAGGAACAGCACCAGAGGCTCATTGTAAACCCCGTACTTGGGATAGAGTCCATACAATCCATACTGTAGTCGTTCCTTCATGAAGTGTTTACTCAACAGCACAGCGGTATCATGAATCTCCTGTCTGGACAGGAGCCTCTGCTCAGTCGCGTATCTCCTGATCTCCTCCCTGATTTTACTCGGATGAATGACCCCAGCCCCTTTGGGCCTTCCACTGAGAGCCCCCAGGAGATCTCTCCACACATCCAGAGACAAATTCTGCCCCTCGCTGCCTCTCAAGACAGCACTCAACACCTCTCCATAATGCTCTGGGAACTCATGAAGAAGAACGAGTCTCAGGTGATTCCTGAATAACTCATGTAGAATGAGTTTGTGATCCTCTGGATTGAGCCCAATATTACAGAGGGCTTTGGAGACAAGATCAATAAACATAGATCGTTCACTAAGTCTCGGTCTGCGGTAATTCAGCCAACTACCCACATCGAACTTCGACAGGAGAACGAAGCACAGATCGACATTGGAGCCTGTGGAGAGATCTACAACAGTCTGATACATCTGGAGAAAAGTTGAGGCTCCACCTGCGACAGGTGTGAAATGAGGCCCAAGAAGACCTCCCAGGTTGGGCCTTTCCATGATGGTACTGAGTAATCGTGGACCTTCTGCCTCCTCTCCAGAGATAAACAGCTGTCCTAATTTCTCGATGCACGTAGTGATGAGTTGCTTAGTGGGTGGGCACAAGGCAGCTTCTTCGTTGTAGAATTCCACCAGGTGGTAGAACAGAGTAACTCCGCTGGTCTGGACTTTACGCAATGTGGCAGTGTTTTCGCATGTGCGATGGACGTTTAACTCGTGCTCTAGGAGACCTATCAGGTGATCTGCGAAGACGCAACCCTGGGTGACTTTCGTTGGTGGCGGCTGTGATGCCTTCACCAGGAGATTTTCGTACTCAGCGCGATTTTGGGAGATCATCTGGTCGATACCTTCACTCACTTTAGCCTCGGATATTTTGATTCTTATCACAGCAGGACCAGCGCAGTGGACTGTTGGTGGAGTGCCTGATCGTAATCGTCGCGGTCCCGCTGGTGCTGGATCACAGAGTGCGTGAAGCGTTACTCTGCTCTCCACTTCTCTGTACAACGTGGGAATGAGCTCCAAAAAAATACAATCCACTGCCGTGTGCTCAGACACCATAAGATTATACGTCTGTGCATAATCAGTGATGACCTTGAGATGGGGCTTAGCAGCCTTGATGACTTCAGCAGATTCATAGAGAGTCTCTCGGGCCACGTGCTCCACCACACTGAAATGCTTGCTGAGCCCTGGAGGTGACTCTACAGCCTCGTAACTCCTCAGTCTCCTGAAGATCCTCATTATGGGGTCAGCAGGCTCCAGGGGAGATGTTGGAGTCTGCACTATTTTGGTTTGTGCTTCGTCAACGCCTCTTGAACAAATTCTCTCCCACTCGGACAGCGATTTCGACTGAGCTTGACGCACCTGCCAGTAGTCAACGTACTCCAACCAGGGAGTCCAATCATCCTGAATCAGCAGGATCAGCTTCTGGGACATGTACTGAGGTGGAAGTGCTGGGAGATAGAGCCCAGTCTCTTGCAATCTGGGCTCCTCCAGCCAGAGGCTCAGGGTCTTGTAGTATTTGGCTGCACTAAAATAAAAAATTCTCCTGTCATCGGTCATGGGTTTACCATCGTCCATGTCCTGCTCCCCTCTACTTTGGAAATATTCAGTTGTGTCGTGCAGTCGTTTCTTCACTCTCTTCAAGTAACTGAGATTGATCATTCCCTCGAAAAATTTATCTCCCAGACCACCTCGGTCTGGTATACCTGGGGATGTTGGAACCCTCGACAGAAAGAGTGCGAAGAAGTTCTGCCAGAGGAGTGGTAGCAGGGGATGATTCATCGGTGTGTCCAAGGCCTGCTGAGACCAGCGGTAAACTGCGAGGCAATTCGAGCTGAAGGGAGGGATTTTTCGTTTAACACAGGCACGTTTCAAGGCTGCATCCAGGGAAGGTTTTGACTGATGACACAGCTCTCGACGAAATTCCCACCAGAGGCCGGATTTGAGCTCTTTCTCCTGTTGCTCCACTGTGAGGACCAGATAGGCCAGCCAAACCGATTGTGTTGTACCACCTAACAAACTTGGGGAATTCCCTGACCCTGTTGCCCAGCTCAAGAAGGAACTGATAGAACCTGACGACTTGCCTGTTCCTAGATTCTGAGTAAAGGGAAATTACAAGTTTTATTTGAAAACTTCTCTAAAAAAATAAAAACTCCTTGACATTCGACACCACAGAAGCGTTTAATTTTTTTTCTCATTCATTATTAATTATTAGAAGTGGAAGAAGAAAGAAGTCTTCTTAGCTTTCTATTATTTTATGATTTAGGAAGGTTTGGAAATGGTTTCGGGGAAATTACCTCGGTATTTCCCTCGGAGGTGAGCTAAATAATAAAATGAAATGTAGAACTGGACGTTGGATTATCGATAAAGAGTGTTAATATTTGGTTCTTATGACCTGACACTATTATTATTATTATTATTGTTATTATTATTATTAGGACTCACCAGGTAGAGCTTTTCAAAAATAGCTTCGGCGGTCGCTCGGGAGAGAGGATGAAAAAACGCAGCTCGAATGATAATATCCATGAGATACATGACGTTCTGATCTCTGTTCCAATCAGGTACTCCCACCAGAATCTCCAGCCAGAGTCTAACGAAGGGTTCAGGGGATTGCAGAGCGTATCTAATGAATTATTAATTAGGATTTTACTTTCACAATGACTTGACCTGCCTGAACCATTGGATCTGCAAGAAAATATTTCAGACCCTCACCTTTCATAATTAACCAAATGACTTTCCAGCATATTCCCAAAGTACTTGATCGTGGGTCCTGGAAACTCCGGAGCAATTAAATTCTTGGCCATCTTCACGTAGGACCTGTCCGCAGCAATTAGCCAGTGGATGACACACCCAAACATTCCATTTTTTATCAGCGACTCAGAGCAGTTGATAAATAGTGGCACTATGTGGTGCAGTGCGATGAGTGTGTGCTCGTATTTATCATAGCACGTGAGCACACAGAGGCTAACGAAACCATAGGTACAGACGAGTGGCACTGAGTGTCCATTCATGGTCATGACAGTCGCGACATAATGTGCAATGGGTTGAGTGTCCACTATTCCACCTCTCAGAACTTCCATAGCAGAATGAACACTGACATCTGGGACATGGGCAAACGCCTCAGCAGGATTTACCATAGAATTTCTGCAGACAGTGTTAGACTGGTCAAGCTGATGGAGCCTCAATCTCGCCACCATGTCCCAAGCCCAGAGGGAAAATGCTTGCTCGGTGTTCTGGGGTCTCACAATCGAGGAGACCTGCTTCACACCCTCAGAGATGATCGAGGCATTCTGACTCGTGTTTGGGACGTATTTAATCGTCAACTCGACTACCAGAAGAGCTACTGTGTAATGCAGATGGAGGGGAAGATATAGATCTCCATTATCATCAAGCCCCCAGTTCAAATGATTGAGAATCAAACGAGCTAGATGACTCTCTGTAGATGACAGAGAAAAATTGTGCAGCCAATTGGCAAGAACTCCGATGTCCTCATTTCTGGGAATCCACTTGCTGATACTCAATTCTGTGAACAAGTAGAGACTCAGTTTGCCGACGGCTCCAAAGTTGTCTTTCAACTTGAAGAGAATATCAGAGAGTAATGAGGGATGTTTGCTGGTCAAGTTAGATAATAAAGATCTGGCGTCCTTTGAGCACGACTCCTGAGTCTTTTCACTAAGAAAACCGATCTCAAAAAGATCTATTGTCGTGGCTCGGATGAAGTCGTAGTCCTGCACTCCTCTGGCCATCGCCATATTGGCGAAGGTTGTCAAGAGGAAATAAGACTCGTCCCCAGGCATGTCAATGAGCTTCTCCTCGAATTGCTTTCTGATCGGCGGTGAATTCAGCTCAGTCTCCCATTCAAGATGACTGACATCGTCAGGCACAGGATCCATGGAGACAGTATCTTTGTGAAGAGCGTAGAAAATGTACCAGAGAGTGTGAATAGAGATGTTCTGGTAGGGAATGGCTGCGAGGTACTGCCAAGCACCGAGCCTCCTCGACGAGAAAATGCACATAGTTGCTCTCAGGAAGAAGCAATCGTACTCAGTCTGGAGTCTGGCAATTATGGATTGATCTGAGATTGGACTCTTGTCGAAGGCCTCCCACTGGTCACTTGTGTATTGTACAACATCTCTAATAAGTGCAGAAAGCCTCTTTGCAAGCTGTCTGTACCTGGGAGAGTCATAAGTCCTGAGTCCCTGCTTGAAAAGTCTCACAACAACCGTAAAAAACGCAAAGACCTTCAGCATGTGGTGTTCGGTGATGCCCCTGGCGTCCTGATGATAGCCCTCCTCTACCTTCTCGATCAGCAGGACTTGTTCGAATAATTTGTCCATCGGGATTTGATTGATAAGAGTTATCAAATCGCTCTCCCACAAATTGGCTCCAGTATTAGCGATATCTTCATCCTCCTCACCTTCCTCATCCAGCATCACCCAGACAGTGTCACCAGGATTGCTGCCAGTGTCCTGAAGGGAGATCTGCACTTGCTCTAGGAACTTCTCCCTCTCCTTGATTGGTAGCAGAATGACAGCAAGTGTTGCAATCATGTGATCCAAATGAGGATCATTCAGAACAGAAGTACTGAGGCTTCTGTTCTTGGGAGGTGCTGGTGCCTGAACAAGACCAGCTGCCCAATTCGTGACGCCCCCAGGGCACCTTAATATGTGATTCAGGATGAACAAGTGGTCCTGCCACGTGGCCACTCTCAGGAGAATAGCTATAAGTCGTGATAGCCATTCTCTGGTGTCCAGGACGAATTTTCCGTCCTTCAAGACTCTCCTCTGGAAGTTGAAGAGAATGGTAACACACATTCTGAGCTCCAGGAGTTGTGGCATCGTTTGTGAAGGCATCTGGATGGCAGTTAGATTGATCGGTGCGTTCTGAGGTAGTGTTGCTAGTTCCTTACAGGACATGCAGACCCTCTGAACGTAGTGCTCGATCTGGAGTTTAAGCATTTCTGCTTCGTACGAGTAGAGAGCTTGAGCATTGTGCAGCAGTTCCTTGATGGCAGAGAGGTTCTTGGTGAGTGAGGTCAGTGCTTGCTGATTGAAATGAGCTATTGAGTACTCATGAGATGCTGATACTGGATTGCCATCCTGACATTCACCGGATTCGGTAATCGAGGCTTTGTCCAGGTGCCAGAGCTGCTTTTGCACTTCTTTACAGTTTTTCTTGAGGAGCTCTAGCTCGTGTGAGTTGAGGATCAGGTGATTACGGACTCTGAGGTATGACATGAGTAACTCGTGGAGGCGGTGCTGTTGTCTAACTGCGCTGGACCGCAATTGTGTCTCCACGAATTCGGTTATGAAGGAATCAACGAGGGAGAGCTCAGGATTTGTGTAGAGTGAGGCGAGTTGAGTGTCTGTGAAAGGAGTGGTCGTCGTTTTCTGAGATACTACTGTCCTTGGAGGAGAGTGAACCTTTTCAGAGGGCGAGGCAGAGGTTTTGGGAGAAGGTGCAACGATCCTGGGAATGGATGAAGTCATCATCTGGGTTTCTTCGAGGTTTGGGGCCGTTGGGACGTCTGAGAGTTTCACAGAGGACACGAGGTCTTGGATCTCCTTCACTCCTTCTGTCGTGTCTTCTACTGGAGCTGATGCTGACGGCACTGAATCCACTTCATCGGCCTCTTGAGGTTCTTGTGGAGGTGGCGAGGACGCAGGATGTGGATCAAGCTTCTCCAGGGACTCTGTGTCGATGGCTGCTGAGTGTAGTTCGCTCTCCATATTTTCCACGCCTTCTACTCGTGGATAATTCGTCGGGGACTCCCCCAGGAGGCATTCAAACTCCTCCATCGTCGGGGCATCGGGGATTTGGTGATCTAGGTAGAACGATCTACCGTGATTCTTCTTTCGTTTCTGGGAAATCAGAAGATTCATTTTTGAATTTCCGGCAACAGTGAAAAAAGCGATTTCTGAGATCATGAGTTTTTCCAATTATCTATTGAAAGCGTAATTCAAGTGATTAAGCTTCTGAAACTATTAATATAATTATTAACGAGACGGTCCGTTACTTAATAATGGTCTGTTCTTTTCAATAATTTTTTCTAAAAATAGTGGAAGGACACGCAAAAGAAATCGACCAGACAAAAAATATTGTAAGTGAATCTGAGAATTTCAAATGATTTTCTTTCAATCCATGAAGAATGGAATAACTTTCAAAGAATAAATCAATAATGAATAAGTGAAAAATAATTGTATTACTTGACGTGACTTGGTCTTCTCCATATTTTTTTAACAATTAATCGGCGGATAAATAAGTAACAGGTGTACGACACAACTCAAGACGATCATTTGGTTCGCAGTCACATTATTACGAATTAGCACACGACCTTCTGAAGGATTCAACTGCGAAATAAAATTGTACCTCGAACTATTAAATGTACAAATTTGTGTCAGAGATAATTGAATTTAAAAGAATTCAATGAACAATTCACTGAATCAGTCACTGACATCTCGTTGTATACGATCGATACATCATTTTCAATGATTTCGTATGAAATATTTGAGAAATATCGGTCGATGGAGCGGGGGTTTGTATTTTCCGCACTGACATTGTCTAGACACTAACGCTTTTTGTTTCTGGATAATAACATAAAGGTTAGAACTTGACCTGGAGTGATTGACAAAATCTCCCACTCTATCGTCAATAACAGCTGATTTCGAGTGGCGACCGTCAGATGGAGAAAGCGGTCTTAACCTTACTCAATTTATTAGAATTATTGTTGTTGCAATTATGACGATGGGAATGGGCATCATTAATGATCCATTGAAAAAAATGTTAGTAATGATTCAGAGAATGACTAGGACTGAGGTGTTCGTTCCAAAAAATAGTGGACCTGAAAAAGGCCGATTAATATAGGAATAAATATTTACGAGTTATTCTTCTCGGGTTTCTTGGGAAGGAGAACGGCTTGGATATTAGGGAAAGCACTGTCTTGAGCAATGGTGACTTCCAACAAGATGCCTGGGAATGATCCTGGTTTTCCTGTTATCACGGGCTGCGTTGCCTGCCAACTCAAAGTCCATAACTGCTACTAGGTAAACTAGAGCTCCGGCATCCATCCGTTCTGCGTAGTTTCCTTTGCGTAGGAGACGATGAATGCGACCCACTGGAAACTGGAGCTCTCACCGAATGAGTCTTAGACTTTCCTTTTACCTTTCCGCCTTTGCCGCGTCCAGACATGTTGTATAAGTTGCGATTCGATGTTAACTCGGCGAGAGACAAATGTGGAATGAGTGGAAATTCTGAAATTTAGGTATATATATAGACTTGCGCGTTCCCAACGCCGAGCCAATTGAAAATGTGCAGTAGGATGCGTGCGCATTGGTCTCATCTGATTGGCTCGGCGTTGCAAACGCCAACGGTGTTAAAACTGGTGGCTCTGTAATGCACCTCACATTTCACTTCTGCTCTCCAGTTCGTGAAGATTACTGTTTGACAAAATGCCACCAAAGGCAAGCGGCAAAGCTGTGAAGAAGGCTGGTAAAGCCCAGAAGAATATTACCAAATCCGATAAGAAGAAGAAGCGTAAGAGGAAGGAGAGCTATGCCATCTACATCTACAAGGTCTTGAAACAAGTTCATCCGGACACTGGAGTTTCAAGCAAGGCCATGAGCATCATGAACTCATTCGTTAACGACATTTTCGAACGAATTGCCGCTGAAGCATCAAGATTGGCTCACTACAACAAGAGATCAACTATTACTTCTCGGGAAATTCAGACAGCTGTTCGTCTCCTCCTCCCCGGAGAGTTAGCTAAACACGCTGTGTCTGAAGGAACCAAGGCAGTGACCAAATATACAAGTTCTAAGTAATTTACAATTACTTTCCAATCATCGGCCCTTTTCAGGGCCACAAAATTTTTTACAACGAAGATAACTTAATTAGTTATTTCACTTATTTCATATTCCATTTTTAAAACTATGTAATGAACGAGTCAAATATAAATGGTGGATTCCACAAATAAGGTTTAGGTATATATATAATAACCGATCAATATACACTGCACTCGGTTCATTAACCTCAAACATTTCAATCGATGCGTTTCATTGATAAAATGTGTATATTATAATTATTTGATATAATAAAGTAATAGAATTATTAGGTATATGCAATTTTACTTGCGTAAACGGTTTTTCTTTCAACAAACAAATATTTTACTTGCAAAGTGGGAGCGGCCCAGTAATACTTCATGATATTTACCGTGATCAACTAACTTATTCTATTGTTAATCTACTTGTCTCTTGTTCGTGAACATAATGTTTATTTCAGAGATTTGTTAAATTTTCATTCGTCTATTGAGAGTTAAAGGTTTTAGTATTCCAGGATGAATTATTTTTTCATACGGTTTTGAGGTTAGGCCTACGAGAACTGCATATAGCGATGTTTCAATAACTTTAGATGCGTTAATATTTTTGGTTTAAAAACAATTACGAATTCGATAGAATGAAGGCATTACCATATAAAATATGAGAACAATTTAATTCGTAAAAGATTGTTATTAGTTATTGATAATTAATTTCAGGTTTGATTTTTTCGCGACGTTCGCCGTAAACGAATGTCCGATATTTTTTGTATTCCAGTAAATACAATAGCGTATATAAAAATGTTAATAATTTTAAGAGTAATTTTTTTACAATCTATGATTGTTTAAAAAATGGAATTTATAATTAGCGAATATTGTACTGCTTCGTAAGAAATATTTGGTGGCCCTGAAAAGGGCCGATTTTTTTTTATTCCATTCAGTAGCGAGTTTAGCCTCCAAATCCGTAGAGAGTACGGCCTTGACGTTTCAGAGCGTAGACGACATCCATGGCTGTAACTGTCTTCCTTTTGGCGTGTTCAGTGTAGGTGACTGCATCACGGATGACGTTTTCAAGGAAAACCTTGAGGACACCACGAGTTTCTTCGTAGATCAAACCAGAAATACGTTTGACACCACCTCGACGAGCGAGACGACGGATAGCTGGCTTGGTGATTCCCTGGATGTTATCACGAAGAACTTTGCGATGGCGCTTGGCTCCTCCTTTTCCTAGTCCCTTTCCTCCCTTTCCACGACCAGTCATCTTGTCTCTTGATTGAAGAACACGTCAAGTAAACGTACCAAAACAACAAGTGATACAATTTCGTCTCTAACACACGTTTTTATAGAGGCCTGGTTGAGTGACTCCCCCACCATTCAAGAATACACCAATGGGCAAGCAGCAGATTTTTTTTCCCCCACTCCACTCGTTTCCACCAATCAGAGAAATCCCTCTGTTATATAACATGAAACATCGCGAGCGCAATTCACTCGTTATTTTGTGCTATCAACGTACAATATCATCGAAACTTTGACGCAATGGCTCGTACCAAGCAGACTGCCCGTAAATCGACTGGAGGAAAGGCTCCGAGGAAGCAGCTAGCTACCAAGGCCGCTCGTAAGAGTGCGCCAGCAACTGGAGGAGTTAAGAAGCCACATCGTTATAGGCCAGGAACAGTGGCTCTTCGTGAAATTCGTCGTTACCAGAAGAGTACTGAGCTTCTCATCCGTAAATTGCCATTCCAACGGCTTGTTCGTGAGATCGCCCAGGACTTCAAGACTGATTTGAGATTCCAGAGCTCAGCTGTGATGGCTCTTCAGGAAGCCAGCGAGGCTTACCTCGTTGGTCTTTTCGAGGACACCAACCTCTGCGCTATTCATGCTAAGAGAGTAACCATCATGCCCAAGGACATTCAGCTGGCTCGCCGTATTCGTGGAGAGAGAGCTTAAGTCATCTTGACTTGAAAACACACAATCGGCCCTTTTCAGGGCCAACAAATTTTTCAAACGAGAAAAATTCATTTTAAGCTGATAGATATTTACGTGCGTTTTATGATATAGTATCTCATGTCATCAGGTGATAAAAGTATTACCTGATGAATGTGGACTTATAATTCGAGTCAGGGAAAACTTATTGCCGTGGAATATATCAAGTTTTTCGGTGCTGGACCTGAAGACCACGATTCAATTGAACGCAATAAAAACTTATGATCTTGATTTGTACAACATTTTTAGATATTCAGAATACCGTAAATCTGTCGTGAGTGGTAATTTGTAAATTCTCCGATTGTAATTCTTTTGCAATTGAAGAAATTTAAAATAATGAAATTGAATTCATTATTCGAAATCAAATTAATTTGTTCTGTGATGAAAATACTTTGAAAACACAAAGAAAATACTTTGGAGAGACCCTTTCCGATATGTTTCTACCCTCGAAACTACTTATCGACGAACGAAAAATTGACAAAAATTAAACCACATATGTGAAACTGTCCCCAGTCGAATTCTGTTTTTACGAAGTTATAGAAATAATTACGATTTATAAAAAGAATAATTCAATTACGAGCTAAAGGCCTGACTTACATATTCATACGACTCGTCGTATTCGAACGCTTCGTACTCTGAATTTCTAAAAACGAATCGAAATACACCAGTGGTTTTTAAATTGTTTGAAATTTGTGTATGGACTGAAATTGTATTTTGTCAAAGAATTAAAGTGATATTAATATTTTTATGGCATTAGAACTAACCAACGTATTAAGATTTTGTGGCCCTGAAAAGGGCCGATTATTTAAGTGCAGTGATTTAAGAACTGCTTTTTTCGGTTTTCTTTGGAAGTAGAACTGCCTGAATATTGGGAAGAACACCACCTTGAGCGATGGTGACTCCTGACAATAGTTTGTTTAACTCCTCGTCGTTGCGGATTGCCAATTGAAGATGTCTAGGGATGATCCTGGTTTTCTTGTTGTCACGAGCTGCATTGCCTGCCAACTCAAGGACCTCAGCAGCCAAGTACTCCATGACTGCTGCCAGGTAAACTGGAGCTCCAGCACCAACTCGTTCTGCGTAATTTCCTTTGCGTAGCAGACGATGAATACGGCCCACTGGGAATTGAAGACCAGCTCTCGTTGAACGAGTCTTGGACTTTCCCTTGACTTTGCCACCTTTGCCGCGTCCAGACATTGTTAGTGGATGATAGTTTAAAACTCAGCGAAGTACGTCTCTCGATGAGAGCGCAAAGTGTAATGGTGTTAAAAATTATATTCGCCCCTATTATATAGCTTCAGAAGTAGGCATCGCCGAGCCAATGCGCGCGCACTGTCCGGGTAATTCAACCGTAAACGCAGCTGATTGGCTCGGCGCTACAAATGCCAACGATATTAAAAGAGGTGGCTCTGTAACGCACCTCACATTTCACTTCTGTTCTCCAGTTCGTGAAGACTACCATTTGACGAAAATGCCACCCAAGGCCAGCGGCAAAGCTGTGAAGAAGGCTGGAAAAGCCCAGAAGAATATCACCAAGTCCGACAAGAAGAAGAAGCGTAAGAGGAAGGAGAGCTACGCTATCTACATCTACAAAGTCTTGAAACAAGTCCACCCCGACACCGGAGTTTCCAGTAAAGCCATGAGCATCATGAACTCGTTTGTGAACGATATCTTCGAACGCATTGCTGCTGAAGCATCAAGATTGGCTCACTACAACAAGAGATCCACCATCACTTCTCGGGAAATCCAGACAGCTGTTCGTCTCCTCCTCCCTGGAGAGTTGGCTAAACACGCCGTGTCTGAAGGAACTAAGGCTGTTACCAAATATACCAGCTCAAAGTAAATCAATCTTGATTGAATAATCCAATCGGCCCTTTTCAGGGCCATCAAATTATCTCAACGTAGATTCCATTAATCGCAAAAAACATGAATACTTATAAGCTAAATTTAATAGTAATAGAGATACTAATTTAGACTTGATATTTATTCAATTAATATTTGTGCTTCTTGCAATTAAATAGAATTTACTTTAACTATTTATTTTTACGTATCGTTTGGAATAACAGAGGTATTTTAATGTGAAAGCGAAACTGCCGGAATGCCTATTATTTATTTAATATCCCGGAAAAAATTATACGAAGTAGAAATCATTTCAATTATTTACTTAATTGGTCGCAGTTGATCCCTTCGGTATTTTTTCTTTTGAGAATGGTCAAAGTAAATATTTTAAATTGATATATTTACAATAACTACTAACTTGCAGCAGTATTGAAATATAGAATTATTCATCGAAGTGGCCAAGTCCTGTTTTTTTATGTATATTTCAATTCAATTAATTTCATTAGTTATGCAATTATTGAAATTGAAATTCAACACTTAGTTGAAATCGTTAAAAAAATTTTCGGCAAATAAAATCTGAAGGTCTCAGTATATGCAACGAAAATAATTTTCGCATACAAGTTGGAATAGCAAATGAATTAGTACGTTCATAAATAATTATTGGCCCTGAAAAGGGCCGTTTGGTTATAATCATAGTTTAATCGAAGTAGTATATCCAGTTCACTTCTTCTGGGCTGTCTTCTTAGCCGCTGGCTTAGCCTTCGGAGCCACAGCCTTTTTCGGTTTGGGCGCCTTGGGTTTAGCAGTTGGCACTTTAGTAGCTTTCTTTGCCTTCGGACTTTTCGGTTTAGCAGCGGCTTTAGTGACTTTTGGCTTGGCGGCTTTCTTCTCAACAGGTTTTTTCGCTGCAGTTTTCTTCGGAGAAGCTGCTTTCTTGGCTTTGGGTTTCGCTGCTTCGGTCTTCTTGACAGGTTTCTTGACAGCTGCCTTTGTCGGTGATCCCTCCTTCTTGGCAGCCTTGGGTTTGGCTTTTGGCTTCGAAGCGTCAGTCTTTTTCACAGCGAGTTTGAACGATCCAGATGCACCTTTTCCTTTAGTCTGCACCAAAGTTCCAGCAGCAACTGCTGACTTCAGGTATTTCTTGATGAAGAGTGCGTGTTTCTCGGTGTCAATCTTGTAGTTGGCAGCGATGTACTTCTTGATGGCTTGAAGAGATGATCCATTACGTTCAGCAAGGGTTTTGACAGCTGTGTTGACCATGTCAGCTGTGCTGGGATGAGTTGGTTTAGGCTTGGGATTCCTAGCCTTCGCAGCTTTCTTCACAGCTTCAGTCTTAGGAGCTGGAGATGCCGTTGATGCAGCAACTGGTGATGCGGTTTTATCTGCCATCTTCAATTGGATATAGAATGCTGGGTACCTCGTGGGTTGAACTGGAGTCTTTGAATGAATGTCAGCGCTCAGTTACCCCAAGTAGATATTCGAGCGCGGACCGTGGAGAGAGGCGCCTTGATTCTGACACCACAACTTCGACGTTCAAAGCTGCAAATGGTGCCTGATTCCCGATGTTTTTATTTATTCAGAGTTGTTTCAACAACTCCAGCAGCTCCTTCATCACCACATTCTCCACATAAATGTTCAGATAAACTATGAAATTTTAGTTCTCCCCCGTAGTGTAATTGGATGATGCGCAATAACTCGAAACGTCGGCCACGTACTTTCGAGGTCTCGGCTGTTGCTCCAATTAAACATTCGTTTTATAAACAATTTACGTTGTTTCGTGATTCTATCGTGTTAATTACGTACTATGACGATTAACGGAAGTGGAAAATAAAAAATAAGTGGGAAAAAATGGTGATTAATACCAATTTTTGAGAGTTTAATGTCAGGCGTCCGACCAGATCGGAAACACGCGTCTGAAGTGCCTATTGTGTATAATATAATATTGAAAAATATCTATAACTATAAAAAATTATGCAATTATCAAATTTTTTAGCATTGTGTGTCGTCTGCTGATGACGAAACTATATTTTATGGTGTATTTCGATTCGTTTTTAGAAATTCAGAGTACGAAGCGTTCGAATACGACGGGTCGTATGAGTATGTAAGTCGTGCCTTTAGTTCGTAATGTAATTATTCTTTTTATAAATCATAATAATTTCTATAACTTCGTAAAAACAGAATTCGACTGGAGACAGTTTCACATATGTGGTTTAATTTTTGTCAATTTTCCGTTCGTCGATAGGTAGTTTCGAGGGTAGAAGCATCTCGGAAAGGGTCCCTCCAAAATATTTTCTTTGTGACGTCATCTTCGTGCATCATGAATCATCACATAGAAATCATCCAATTAAATTAGAAATTCAATTCGACCAATTGAAAATTTTCGCATAAATTACGTGTCATTATTTCGAATAATGAAGAGTAAAAAAAATTATCGAATGAATTCCTGCTACTCTTTTATCGCTTCTTAGTGAAGAAACAAGAGATTTAATGAGCATTTTCCGGAATTCCTAAAAAATCATTGGAGAAAGTTGATAACGAAAAAATATGAATTCTAAAAGACTGAGTGGAAAAACCCCAGAGTGGAAATTGAAATAATGCCCTCCACTGAAAGACAAATAAATCGAGCAATAAAAGATTGTCGACTGCTCTAACTCTGGAATTATCAGAATTACTCTACGAGTAAATAATCTTCTATAAGATTTCCTTCAATTAATTAATGATCCTTAAAATTTTGATTAAAATTCGTATGAATTCCCGTGATATCGAATTTCCAAATGAATTAATTACTCAATACCTCAAGGCTTTATTAAAATGAGGATAACTTTTTAAACACGAGAAAATAAAAAGTTATATTGACTTTAATCTACGCCTCAGCGACCCGAGGATGTACAAACGCTGAATTGTCACGGGGATTTGATATTGCTGGTATGAGGTTATGTTTAACAGGCACTTGTGAATAAAGAAAAATCCCGATGTGTGGAATATTTTGTTACTGTGGTCCCTGGGCGGAAGAGGAATTAAAACAAAATTACACCTCAGAAGGTGTTTCTTGTTCGACGTGCTTTGAAAACAACAGAAGACGTGGACCAGATGATCCAAGAGCTTCGATCTACAGTAGAGACATAAATGGCAAGTGGCACGCTAAATTTGCAGGATGGGTGCTGTGGACTCAGGGTTTCCAGATGACTCATCAACCCCTTCGAGAGTCAACCGGAAATCTCCTCCTCTGGAATGGCGATATTTTTTCAGGTGCTCTCGCCCAAAACTCAGAATCTGACACTCAGCACCTCCACTCGGTCCTCCAGACCTCCACGAATATTGTGGACACTCTGGCATCCATCGAGGGTCCATACAGCTTCATCTACCATGACGCAAGAACAGACTCTTTGTATTTCGGAAGGGATCCCATCGGTCGACACAGTTTACTCGTGAATGTTGTGCCAGAAAAAAGAGTTCTAATTCTCTCATCAGTTGCTAGTAAAAAAATGCAGAATTGGATGGAACTCCCGGCTCTGGGCATCTTCAGGATGGACTTGACAAGGGACGACCTCAACCTGACGCTATTCCCCTGGGAGAACATCCCAGAAGCCATTCATCAGCTTGAGGAAGATTTGAACATGAAGATAAAAGTGGAAGCACCGATCGGTTCTCTGGGAGTCAACGATATCACCTCAGAGCCCCAGCTAGAGGATTTTGTATTCATGATTCCCATCGATGATAAAAACATTGAAGTAACCATGGAACGCCTTCTACGTGATGAAGAGATCTCCAAACGTGTGGAAGAAGTATCGAAACGATTGAGAGACTCTGTGAGACTCAGGGTTGAGAAGAAACCCAATTACTGCATGGATTGTATCAAACTTAAGTTGGAGATGAATGAGGTGAACTGCACGCATTCGAAAATAGGATTATTGTTCTCTGGGGGACTTGACTCGACTATTTTAGCCGCTATAGCTCACGAATTTGTGCCAGAAAAGGAAAGCATTGACCTGATCAATGTTGCGTTTGAAAAAGGCGAGAAAGGAAGTAAGAAAATCAAAAGAGGGGACAAAAATGATGAAGAGAAACGAGAAAACTTTGACGTTCCTGACAGGAAGACAGGAAGACAAGCTTTTGAAGAATTGAAGAGACTTTTTCCAAGAAGGCAATGGAATTTTGTTGAGGTAATGGCAATCGTAGAAAACCATTTAAATTAAGAAGACGTTAACTTAAAAAGTAATTAATACTTTTTTTATGGTTCTAGAGTAATGTGACTCGATCAGAGCTTGAGGAGTGTCTCAGAACGAGAATCTGTCATTTGATATATCCTCGCCGAACAATTCTCGACGAGAGTCTCGGTTCTGCCCTGTGGTTCGCAGCGAGGGGTTCTGGAACTCTCGCTGGTACCAGTGAGTCCTATCAATCTCCATGCAGAATTCTGCTCCTGGGAATGGGAGCTGATGAGCTGTTTGGAGGATACACCAGGCACAGAACGATATTCAGACGGAAGGGCTGGGAGGGACTCGGTGGTGAATTGAACGCAGAAATCAGAAGAATATCTGAACGGAACTTGGGGAGGGACGATCGAGTGGTTGCTGATCATGGTAAGCAGTCTAGGCTGCCTTATCTAGATGACAACTTCGTAAGATACGTTACGAGTCTCAAACCCTGGGAGAGGTGTGTATGGAAATTCTTCAGGAATATTTCATCGAGTATCATTATCAATTTTGACTTTCAGATGCTGCCCCATAGACAGAATGCCCCCAGGTCTAGGTGATAAACTACTCCTCCGACTTTGTGCATTTAAACTCGGTCTCAAGGAGACATCAGCTTTTCCGAAAAGAGCATTTCAATTCGGCTCGCGAATTGCCAAAAGTCACGAGAATGCCAGTGATATATCAAAGTGGCTCATGTGGTGAATATTCTATTACATATTATCTGCATGAACGATTTCATTCATAACATGTGGATAAATATTATTTGCAACCCATAAAAATCTTCCCTACAACAAGAGAACATCACAAGTACTTTTTACTATTTGAATAAAACAACAGTTCGCATTATTAAATGACCGAAGAATTAATAAAAAATACGTGTGACGTGTGAAGAACAAATTTTTTTTACCCTGTACCATTTACTTCGCTAATTAGACAAAATAATAGAGAAATGATTGAATCTCATTTATGTGAAAAATAAAGAACTGAAAACAACTTAAAGAATATAAATTCATTTACAGGTAAATAATAGCTGATTGCGTCAGCATAAAATTCATGGGACCGCAAATTTAAACATCTTACGTAATAATTATGAACGCACGTCATCAGTTGATCGGAATGTCGAATAAAAAAAAATCACTGGATAAAGGTCTGAAGATAATAATTCGACAGTTCGAGTTTTTCGTTGTGTTCGTTTTTCCTGAAAAATTCGTGCAACCAAGAATAAATATTCAAGAACGTCCATAAAGATTACGGATTCTACGACAAACTAACAACAACTCGACCCCAGCCAATCCGTGCTGCTTATCATAATCAAACAACAACAGTTTCTTCACAAAAAAAAATAAGAAGCAGTCAGTAATGCATTGCCCTCAAACGAGAATGGACGATAGTCTTGAAACTGTTCTCTCCGCACTGGAAAAAAATCGGTCAGCCTTTCAGATTTTTGATAAGAATTATCAGGAAGACAGGCGCGTATTTCTAAATGGTGCGCCCAAGGGCTTGAAGAGAGAATTCGATGAATTATTAACGCAAAATGCTATTGAGTTTATGGTAGACTTGGTGATGCACTTTGGAGCGCGGATTGAGGAACTCTACAGTGACAGATTGCGGAGGAGAGCTGAATTTAAAAGTCAGCCGAAAATTCCGAGGTTCCAGGCAGTACAAGGAAATGATGACTGGAAAGTCTCGCCTGTTTGTAAGTCTGGAATAAATCTCTTTTTTGCAATTTGATTTTAACGATATGGCAATCCCTCGGGATTATTATCGGTATATTTTTTGCTCCCAATGGAATAGTTTGTCGAGTGATAAACACGGAAGAAATTATAAATCAAGAGTAAAAAAATGGAAGTCAGCACATATAAATAAGGAAATATATATATTTTCGTAATTGTGCGATGAGAAACGCAGAAGAATAGAGAGGGGAAATTTTCAATCAATATCTCGGAATGGAAACGAGTTATCAAAATAATTGTTGATAAAGATTCAGAGGAAAATTTTGTTATCTTATTTAAAATCAGAGTTATATTAATTGAAAGAAAGATCGAGCTTTAATTAATAATCGAAATTTCTGGGGTTTCAGGTGATCGTTTGAGGAACAGACACTTAGACCTGGGCGACGTGAGTCCAAGTGACTTGAATCACTTTACGTCAGCCCTGCAATCAGACGTTCAAGGAATCCAAGTGGATTTCGACGATGGCCATTGTCCAACCTGGTCGAACCAGATTTCAGGTCTTCACAATGTCCTAAAAGCGGTGGCCAATCGTCTCCCGAACGTTCCTCCGATCACAAAATCTCCAGTTCTGGTTCTCCGTCCCAGAGCCTGGAATATGATCGAGAGGAACATGAGCATCAACGGAAAACAAGTTCCCGGTCCGATCTTCGACTTTTCCCTTCTGATCTTCCACACAGGAGCAATCCTCCAGAGAGCAAACTCAGGTCCAGCATTTTACCTCTCGAAACTGGAGAGCTGGAAGGAGGCGAAACTGTGGAACGACATATTTTCCTACAGTGAACTCAAACTGAGAATTCCCAACGGCTCCATCAAGGCATGTGTCCTCATAGAGAACATCCTGGCGAGTTTCGAGATGGAGAGAATTCTCTACGAGTTGCGAGAGCATTCGTTGGGTCTTAACTGCGGTATCTGGGATTATGCCGCCTCAATCATATCGATATTTGGAGGTGACGAGTCATTTTTACTTCCTGACAGGAATAAATACGTGGACATGAACAAGAGATTCTTGAAGAAGTACATGGAATTGGTGGTGAGGACGTGCCACAGGAGAGGGGCTCACGCCACGGGGGGAATGGCAGCTAAATTGTTGCCACATCCTGATGACAAGGAGTTTGGAAATATTCTTCGAGGGATCTGCGAGGCTAAATTCATGGAGATCCAGACTGGAGTCGATGGATTCATGATTTACGATGTGAAACTGGTACGTTACATGAACGAGATGTGGAGGGATTATGGGGGACCGTTTGCCAATCAGATTTTGTACCTGGGACGTTCTGAGGACATCACAGGAGAGGATCTGCTCAGTCTACCCGAGGGGGGAGTCACCAGAAAAGGGTTGGATCACAACATCAGGGTTTCCATTCTGTTTAATTATAACTGGATGAGAGGAAGGGGCCACTTCCCTCTGGGGGGATCTGTCGAAGATTCAGCTACTGCTGAAATCTCTAGGTCTCAAATTTGGCAGTGGATTAGGCATCGAGCCAGGATTGAAGAGGGAGGATCCGTCACAGTTGAAGTTGTGAAAAAAAGAGCGCAAAAGGTTTTGAAAGATATTTTAAAAAATTGTCGAGACCATCTAGAGATCCAAAAGGTTCTCACCGCTTACGATATTTTCTTTGATCTCGTTAATCGCAGAGATTTCCCGGAATTCATTACTTCGTTTATTTATGATGAATATATGTTCAAGAAAACACATGCGCACTTGTGATGGAATAAATTACTTGTACTTGTTATATTGTGTAACGAGGAATTTAAGAAGAAGACTCGATTTGTCTCGTCGAAGATTTCCTCGGGCATTTAAAATTCGTAATAAAAAATAATTATTTTTAATTTATTCATTGTCTAATTAAATTATTATGGACTTCGGGCGTTCATTGATTCCAGAATTTTTGAGAAGCGTAATTCATCTGAATTGAATCCATTTGAACACTAAAACAAAATGGGAAACGATGCGCGAACTGAGAGCGCAGAAACTGATTGACAAACCGTGACGCACGTGACACATCACAACAACAATCAGTTTCACAGCTGATCGCGAGCGAGTAACACGTCGAGTGAATGAAATCACTGCGTGTATTTACGAGTATAATTGCTATTTTGATTGTTTCGGAGTGAAGTTTTAAGATCGCAAATAATGGTGAACGCAAATACGGAAATAAGAAAGTTGACGATTGGAGAGTTAAATTCGCTGGCTAGATCACTCAGTCCTGAGGCTTGGAAAATTCTTATGGCCAGTATTAAAGTACCGGGTTCGAAGGACATTCCCCGTTTCTCCAGTGAAGATGTCAGGTAAGTAACTGTAAGAGGGTTGATAAAACGGTCATATGTTCGGTCATTTTTTCGATCTAAAAAAATTGATCTAGGATTCAATCCTCTTATGCTTACTATGAATATGAGAAAATGTGTAACTGACATTAGGAGGTATTATTCATATTAAAATTTTCAATTCCTCGAATTTAGATTAATTGAAGAGGCTGGGAAAAACCAGCACCGACCAGCAGCGGAAGTGTTTCTAGCGGAATGGTGTACGATGGGGAAAACCAGACCCACTGTGGGCTCAATGATTCAACTATTGGTTGAAGTGAATTTATTAAGAGCAGCTGATTATTTAGCTGTTGACATTCTAAAAGGTAATTAATTTTTGGAGTTAGTATTGCCTCCCGTAGGCGATGCCGAACGAAATGATTAAATCGGCGCACCTAATCGATGATTAAATCCACAATTAGTGTTTAATCGGTTAAATAATTAATAAGTTCGTAATTTTTATAGAAAATCCTCCAGAACGTCCGAGAGAGGGTCCAGCAGCTGCGGTGGACCTTTCAAAATTACTCGAGGAATGCGATTCTCCGCTAGACGAGAGTGAATCGGAATTCTGTAACCGATCAACAGCAGAGGCTGATTTTAACGGAAGAAATTATCTGCATCACATTTCCTCGACCCCTGATGATGTGGGGGTAATCGAGATGAATTTTGTGGAGGGCCAAATAAAAAATGTGGAGAACAGTCCCGAGAAACATCTCCAGGAGAATTCGGATCTGATAAAATTCTCGAAGGGTGTCGATGCGGGGATGAAAAGTGATTTGATAAAATTCAGTTCTGACATAATTGAGGATACAGAATTGAGAGGGAGTGGAGAACTCATTGAAGCATCGAATCTCCTCCCTAGCTTTTCCCTCCTGGGGATCAAGTCCACTCAAAATAAGGACAGCAGTAGTAGCAGTTTTTATACCGAAACGAGTTCGTCAAATGATTCTTCTGGTGATATCATTTCGAGGACAGAATCGCAGACAGATTCGTTGCAATCAAGTGATTTCAATCTGCCTGCAATGTCTCAAATTCTTCCAGATGACTTGAAACCAGAGAGTGTGGGAATAAAAGTGGAGAATCAAGAAATTGATCCCTCAGTGATTTCGGAAAATGTGGAGGACTTGCCAGTGACTGTTTTAGAATTTTTTAATCGATGATCGCAAGTCTTTTATAAATTATTTCTTCTAAACAAGAAGTTTTACTCAATTTTCCAACTACAGTTCAATTTAATTAATTGAAAATTTTGAAGAGGAATAAATTTTCCAGAGTAATCTTTTCTGTATATAAATTTTTTATTTCATATTTATTATATCACAAATATTTTTTACGATACATCTTGTAAAATACCTAAAGCTTCAAGTAAAAGATGAAAAAAATACTTACATTAGCGAAGTATTAAATGAAATTATTGACAAGCGACAGAGCACTTGACACGTAACACTCGAGCTTAAATCATCACAATTTCCGAAGATAAATAAAAAAATAAATGCCATGGAATCGACGCGTATATGTGGCGGAATGAATATTCTTATAAATGTTTTTTAACATCGAACGACTTAGCTGATGATGGCGAATATCGGATATCGTGATTAATAAAGGCGTCTAAATATTTTGATAAATAAATTCATTCGAAATTTGTTTTTCATACGACTAGCCATCGTTAGTCTGCTTCATGGCGAAGTATGCACTTTGAAGTTCTTTTAAATTACTCTCGAGGGTTGCCACCTCGTCGTATTTGCATTCAGCTCGTGCTTGCTTTATGTATGACCTCAAGTTGCTCATTTGTTCGATAATTGGATCCATTGTGCTCGAGGGCAGCATTGCAACAGCACTTGATGGCCCCCAGCCATCAGATTTCTCAATTATTGGCTGAAATACAAAAACATTTCATTATACATTCAATTAAATTGATTAAATTTCATTGACCAGACAATTTACCTCATTAGATTTAACCGATGAACTCATTCCACCTTTAGGATCGACCCTCTGCTCCTTCCGCCTCTCCTTCAACGCCTCTTCAATCTCCATCTGCCTCTCAAATGCCACCCTCTCTTCGATCCTCTTCTGACGCTTCTCCTGAAGTTCAAGGTAGACTTCCTCACTGGGGAGTGAAGGGATGGTCAACAGGTGCTCTTTCAGAAAAATCATGGCTGATGCCCTGACCATCTGATGAAGCCTGAGAGCCTGTCCCTGCGGTGGATTATCCACGTCTGCAGTTCCAATCGCTAGAATTCTTTTGCTGATGTTATCCACATTCTCTCCTATTTTCGCGATTTTCACCCGGAGGATTTGAGCGTCTCGTAGATCGTACGTCGTTTCTCCCTCGTTGAATGACTCCCACATCTTCTGATACATTCCCATGAATTTAGTTGCCTCCTCCATGTATGTTCTCATGGTCTCATAAAACTTGTTGATAATTGGTTTATTGAATTGTCGTGCCTGGAGTCTCTGCCTGGCCTCCAGCAGATTTTTGCAGTGAATACATAACCGGAAATGCTGCTCACCACTCGCTGGATCATTGACCAATGACAAAACACTATTTAAACTACTACTCGATGGAGAACGTGCAAGTTTTGTAAGACCTATTCCAGCTCGAAGGATTCTACCTGTTAAATGAGACTCTGGAGCTGTGGGAGAGACTGCTGAATCGTCCTGGACGGATACTGGACTCGTCATTTTCCCTGGGAATGAAATTCCGTAAAATGAAATGTTTAATTACAATTTGATGGATTATAAGAATTATTCATGTCAATAGGGCGTGTCGATAGTCTGAGAATCAGTGAAATTATTATCGCTGATGACTCTACGTACTGGCATCTATGAGTGATAAAAACATCGTGCAATCGTGGCACATGACAGCACCACAAAGTCTGCAATGATGCTTTCTTCTTGCTAAATGAAAACTTCTGGCGCAGTTGGGGCATAATTTAACGTCTTTATCATCAATCCAGGGAACTATCGTCTTCTCATGAACTGAAATATCAAGTTTTATTGTCAACGGGATATTTAATTTAACGATGTAATTAATGAGATAATTACCTTTTCGGTCGATGGGATCTGTTGGTAGATTATTCAATAACTTATCCAATCTGATGAGTAATTTATTAGTTTCGGCGGAATATCTCTCTAGTCTTGAGTTCCTAATATCTCTGAAGTAAATTGTGTGGATTTTCATGGCACCTGATAGCCAAAAAGCACGAATTAATCACTGATTGATCTTTTAACCACTAAATTAATTTAGGAATTTTGGAGGAATCCTGGTTCATCCACAAAATTCGAAATTAACTGAATTTTCACATTTACCAATTTCTTGTGGGCCCCAATTTATTTCAGGACTCGTTCTTCGTTTGCTAATCGATACATTTTGCTCTGATAGGCTTTCATTAATTTCATCCTGTTTCAGAATCTTTTTTTTGGCTTTTCCAAATAAGTCTGAAAGACAGGAAAAATCATTTAATAAACGGTTATGTTTGTCTATTAAATTCTTATTTCTTTCATCTCTAGAGATGAAGAATAAATTTTATTTTCCGTCTGTACCTTTGAGTGATTTTAATATCTCGGGGTCGTCATTATGAACATCTTCGAAATGCTTGGTGAGCTGATTCGGTGATTTCAAATCAGTCATGCAGATAGGGCATATAAAACCCTCAATTATGTCTCCATTCTCAGCCATTCTAATTTATTAATGCCTAATAAAATTAAGTCTCACACCCCTAACCACTGAAATCACCAGGCCCGATTTTTCTCCGGGATGGGGGCGTAACTGATATTATTTCAATCCAAAAGTAGAAATTCTGCTTATGATTTGTCAATCAGCTGATGAATAATTCATTCCTCTATCCAATGACAATAAACCCGATAGACTAAAATAGAGGTTCAGTTCTCGACGAAGTGTCAAGTGTAATGCCAACTCCTGGGGATGATGGCGTCTCGATCGCCTCATGCGCGGTGTGCAATTGTGCATGCAATTACCGCAATTTCATTAACAATTAAACGAGGTAGCTTGTGTAATCGATTGTAAGTCGTTCGCAGGTGATTGTAAAAAAATTGATAATGTTTACGAGTTAATGGATTATTAATAAAAAATATAAAATTATTTTTTAACGCGCTGTGTGTAAAGTAACATTTCACGCACGACTTGCGTGAAATATTCTGTGAAATTAAATTTTTTATTTATTAATTTATGGAGATTGGAAGCGAAAGTTGTTAATTTTTTATATTTGGTTTCGATTTAATATTAAAGACATCGGGAAAATCCGGAGGATATCATGCACTTCGGTAAAACTCGGCGTTAGGTCCACCGGTGGGTCCAAAGGTCGAAATTCTCATCAATACTAGCTGCTTGTCATTGGCCATTACTGAGGAATCAACAAGTGCAGCAGCTTCTGATCCAATTTTAATCATTTCAAGCAGTTGAAGAAATTTAGCAAATCATGTCGGTTGTTACAAAAGGTAATTATTAGAAAAATATTAACTTTCGCTAACTTGCGCTAAATTACGCGATTCATCCGCCGGGATTACGAAATATATATAATATATATATTATATATCCTCGATAGAGATTCGAAAAAAATTAATTGCGGAATAAATTTATAAAGTAAATTATCACGAAAAATTGACTACGGTGCGTTTTTCTCATTTCCGCTGGTAATGAATGGAGTAAATTTACTAAGTTAATTAATTAATTTAAGGGATACATTCAAAGAATCATCACTGATAATGAAATGATGCAGCACATTTATTATCCCTGGAGATAAGAATGAATTCAAAACTAAGTAGTCTGATACATGAGGGAGAAGCGATTGAGCGGAAAATTTCTTGGGCATAAATTTCTCAATTTTTTTTCTTAGATTTTAATAATTCCATTTTTTGTGGCATTATTAATTGCCAAAAAACGATTGAATGAAATTTAAAGCGTTTGTGATTGTTCTTTTCAGGAATCTATTTTGTGGCTGCCAAAAGAACCCCATTTGGGAAAATGGGAGGCAGTTTTGTAAATAAAACTGCAAAAGATTTGTCGGTTGTAGCTGCAACGAGTGCGATCAAGACATCGGGTCTTAAGCCAGAAAAAATTGATCACGTTATTTTTGGTAACGTTCTAGTGGTTCGTGAACTATTTCTCATTATCAATTATTTAATCGCGTGTATCCACTATTACTATAGCGATCAGTCATTTAATCTTTGATTTATTGGTTCTAGTTGACAGCAAGTGATGGTGCATTTTTGCCACGACATGTTCTCTTGAAATCGGGAATTCCTCTTGAAAAATCCGCATTGGGAGTCAACAGATTGTGCGGATCTGGATTTCAATCGATTGTCAATGGGGCACAGGTACTCTTGCAATTTCAAAAATGTTATTTTTGATTTTCAATCAGCACATGTTCAATCATTGCTATTGAATTTTCATCGGCTGTCTTGAGAAAATTTAATATTACAACTACTGGATTCTCTGCCATGAATTTACAGAGCATTCTCTCCGAGGAATCCTCAATAGTTCTTGCGGGTGGAGCTGAGAATATGAGTCAAACTCCATTTGTAGTTCGAAACGTTCGATTTGGCACCGGTCTGGGGCAAAAATATGATTTCGAAGATGCACTATGGCTGGGTCTACTAGACACCTATTGCGGTCTGCCAATGGGTATGACAGCGGAAAAATTGGGGGCAAAGTACGGTATTACGCGGGAAGAAGTTGATAAATTCGCATTGAGAAGTCATCAGAACTGGAAAGCAGGTGATCACTAATTCTGAATGAAGAAAATAGTATTGTGTATCTGTTCATTAATCTTTTATCTGTTGCGATTTCTTTCTTGATGAATTTTCTATTACGATTCCGTTATTACTCAATATTTTTCTCTCGTAGCCAACGATAATGGATATTTCAAGGCCGAAATGGCCCCAGTGTCACTGAAAATTAAGAAACAGGAAGTTGAAGTGTCTGTTGACGAACATGCAAGACCTCAAGCCAAAATCGAGGATTTTGCAAGGCTTCCATCAATTTTCCAGAAAGACGGACTCGTCACAGCCGGAAGCGCATCTGTAAGTCACTAATACCCGATTGGAATTCTCCAATTCTCTTTAATGACTATTTTATTTCAAAACATGTGAACGCAACGTGAAACTATTAAAATTTTTTGTGGCCAATTGAATTTCCGATGGCAACGATTTTGTGATTTTTTCAATGGTTTCAAAATCAATGGTTCTCGCGATAAGTGGATATTTAGTAAAAGCAATGAATTCAATAAATTTCAGGGAGTATGCGATGGAGCTGGGGCTGTCATACTAGCTAGTGAAGAAGCTGTCAAACGGGAAGGTCTCAAGCCTCTCGCACGTTTGGCAGGATATTCAACTGTAGGTGTTGATCCTAGTATTATGGGAATTGGACCAGCACCTGCTATTAAAAATCTTCTGAAAGCCACTGGCAAGACCCTGAACGATATTGATTTGGTTGAGGTACGTTTGAAGTGTCATTCGATGTTTTTTAAATGTTCAAGAAATTTTTATAGTTAAGAATGAAAATAAATCTATTCAATTGTAGATAAATGAAGCCTTTGGTGCGCAAACGCTAGCCTGTGCCAAAGATCTCAATCTCGATATGAATAAATTGAACGTAAATGGTGGAGCTATTGCTCTCGGACACCCTCTCGGTGCATCAGGAACGAGAATTACTGCACATCTCATTCACGAGTTGAGGTGAGAGTCTAAAATTCTCACCGAAAAAAAACTCGAAAAAATTGTTATAAAAAAAATGATGATTTATTTTCTTTTGTTTTTAGGAGACGCAGTGGGAAATTCGGTATTGGCTCCGCCTGCATCGGTGGCGGTCAGGGAATTGCCCTTCTCATTGAATCCATGTAAATTTTCAAAAACTAACGAAAGAAAACGAAACCTTAAATATTTTTGATAAACCTCTCTTTCATTTTGATAACTATCTTTAAATAGGAGGAGAAATAACACTAGAAAACAAATCAGTAGAAACAATAATTATTTACTACTTAAACCATCAATTACAAAATTACAGTAAAAATTGTTGGTGAAAAAAATACATGTGTACGTAAATAAAGATATTTTTTCATTGTTCTTTATGTACAGTATCGAACAATTCGTCGCCAAATTTTGCAAACTCTTCTGAGCATTCGCAGTGTTTTAACATATTTGGATTAATGCTTTGATCTCCGTAATAGGCGCCTGCTATAGCTCCAGCCATACTGGCGATCGTGTCAGTGTCACCACCGAGAGTCATCTGATATCAAAACAAAGAATATCAATTAATCTGCATCAATAATCATAAATCAATTAATTCAGAAACCATACTTACTGCATATTGAATAGTTCTCCTGAATGGATTATCAGTATTAATCCCTGGGATTGGATTCTGAGCGAGGAGAAAACAGAAAATTGCTGCAGGGACTGAGTGCACAGCCCTCAGTGAATTCCCCAAATTCATAATTACCTCAACGACATCGAGTTTGTTAGGATTATTCAAGGACTTCTTGATCATCTTCCTCATGAGCGTGAGTTTTGCTTTGAATGGCTTGATTTGTGCGTCAGTTAGTTGTAAACTAACAATAGAAAACAACAAATAGATAAATGAAAAAAGAGAATTCCAAGTTTCATTTTAATTCAATTTTCAACGAACTTACAACTCTTCATCTTCCTGTTCGATTTCATTCATATCCTCAATTAAGTCATCGATAAATTTTTTAGAATCCAACTCTTGAGTTGGATCTAGGCAAATTGTTTTTCCTATCGTTATTGCCTGCAAAACGAAGCAAAGATATTAAATCTTTATTTCGATTTTGTCTATTTTAATTTGTATTTTTTGAAGAATTGTGAATTTACTTGCAAAATAGCACCATTGACTCCCTCTCTGTGTGTATGAGTCAGCATGGCTTGTCTTTTTGCCATATCCACCAGACGCTCGTAATCATTGTAACAGAATAATGAGACTGGGGATATTCTCATTGCAGCCCCATTACCCAAAGAGCCTTGTCCATTGAATTGCTCCTTGGCCGGTCCAACCAAATCGGTGAATTTATTTCCTCTAAGTTTCTCGAATACCTGCATTACCCGAACAATTACTTCACAATGCACCTACAGGAATGCTCATTAACGTGAGGTAAAATTGAATAGAAGAACGCATTCTCTAAGTCTCATTAAATCCTACTAATTCCTTTAACTCCAGTAGCGAAAAGGTAAACGGTAACGATTCATTTCAAGTGCTGTGCAATTTTTCGAGGAATCTTTCTGAATCTAAGCGAAGTAGGGCTTTTCTTGTCAGAACCTTTTCTGTAGTTCTCATTTCACTCTGTAGAAAAGGCCTTGGTAAAAATTTTCTTATCTCTCTTGAATTCCGAGGTATTCCTCGAAAACGGAACCAGAATTGTATTTTTCTATTAATTTATCCGATACGTGACGAACGAAGAGAGCATTCCCTCACGTGTCAATTGCTCTCGGTAAAAATTAACTGATATTTCATACTAACGACTATGACCCCAGCTCCGTACCCACGATTGGGCTCTTGATAGAAACTTTTGACGAACTTCTTGGCCAAATCTAGCAAATCCAAGTCACCTTTCTCAATCAGCGATTGAGCTAGGTTTCTCGTCATTGCGGAGTCGTCCGTTAAGTTGATCACAGGTGCTACAATAATTTTAAAAGTTGAGAAAAATCCTGATGGGTGCAATGACGAGTGAATTACCACTAAAAATATCACCAGTTAATGTATCCCAAGGCGTGCATTAAACATAAATTATAATTGATCAATAAAATTAATTTCCCGACCGCAATTTCTTCCGTCAAAATGGCTTATTGCCGTTATTATACTCGGCCATAGCTCCGCCCTCACGGAAAAAATATATATGCTAATGATTATATCTGATATATTGGGTTTTTAACCAAAAATATATTTAATCTATAGTTCAGATATATTTGTTTCGCTCGAACTATATGTGCGTATTAATAATATTCATGAATAATATTAATAATCATTACTAATTAAAATAGACGTTTCCTTATTGTTATTTACTTCAGGAATATTTCAACGGGTGATATTTTTGCCAATGATATTTAGACATATAACCAGAATCGTAGAACTAACGGACTTAGTCTGAAAATGAAAAATCATTTAAATCGTTGTTACAATAAAAACAATTCGAAGAATTTCCTAACCTTTAAGATCAGTTCCCTCTAGTGTATCGAGCCTTTTTTGAAGGATAACTGAATTTCCAGGTGTCATGGGAGGATCGCCCTCATAGGCACTCCCAAGACAATCCCCTGACAATGCACCCAAAATGCACCCCCGAAATTTCTGCCTCAATACGGAAAAATCCATTTTATTCAACAACATGGTCAGTTGTTTATTCCGTTTATCAACTCTGCGCTTTCTGCGCATGCGGCGCCACATTTCGAACATCTGGAAAATCTGAATCCAAAAAAGTAGACAATTAAACCTATTCCACAATCAAACCGGAGAAATAAATGAAAATCTGAATATGAATTACCTGATGCCACAAAAAAGGAAAAAAAGGAAAAAAAAAAATCATTCTTCGAAAATTCACAACATTTGTCGATTTTCCGGTGATAAAAATCGTTTGACGGTTCATCCCTTTCGAATTTTATCGAAAAGAAAACAACACCTGTAGAGGAAAAGGCTGACACTTTAAGGCGCGATTGAAGGCTTCAGCCAAAAGGAAAAAAAAAATAATGATACCGTTATAACGTGGAATAGTTACGCCCGGACGAACAAACGAGAGAGATCTTTTTATAGAAAGGGGCCACTGATATGACGAACAAGAACTGATTATTACACAAGGGGTGTATAATCCGAGACTTGGGGGTAAAAAGTCCTAGACGATGCGGATGAGGGTGGTTTATATGACCTTTTGACACTGAGTTGACAATTACTTCGGTATTTACAGACGCTGGTATTTACCAGTGTTCTGGTTACACGCGGAAAAAAGGATTAAATTCATTACTGCATAATTCAGATAATCAAAAGTGGCGAGTAGCACAGAGCAATTTTTAATTTTTGAATGAATTTATTTATTCATTTATTCACTCATGTTTGACGATAGCCTTTTTATGGCACATAGTGTGGGAATTATCGAATAACTTGTATAACCTGTAGTGGGCGTTCGACATTTTCGATTTTTCAGCGTCGCCTATACTAAAATATTGTTTTTTATTGTACCGTGCAATTGTATTATTTATATTCGACTCGTGTAATGAATTTATATAATTATATATATAATTTACAAATTCTTGTTAGATGGCGATTTTATCGAAAAATTCTATTTAATTATTTCAGAATTCGGTGGATCATAGAAAACGTTAAATAAAATATCAACTGCGATGTTCGAAAAGTGTAAATTCTTACGTGATCGAGTTCACTCGATTAACTGTGCCTGTATAAAATCAAAAAAATATTTCCAAAAAAATCGCCATCTGGTAACTCTGACACGCGGTAATAATTGGTAGTTAGAGTGCTTGCATCTGTGGTTTCTTCATAAAAGCCGCGTGTACATCTGCGGGAGAGATGGCACGCGGGGTGGGTGGAAAGTGGGTGGTAAGCTTTGGAAACAGAGGCAGAAGCGACGGCGGAGACGAACCTTGGCCACCCCTGGTTAAACCCGGGAACGACAGTCTAGCGCCGGCTGTCTGTCGTTGCGGGTGAAAAGCTCGCCGGAAAGCTCAACGAATTTTCATCATTATTTTTCTAACTAAACCTACAAATCACACCGAAATGTCTAGAGCCTGTCGACGAATAAATCCCCTAAAATTCCAACCCCTCTCTTCCAATCAGTGAACCAAAATTTGCCTCCAATTAATCGCCAGCCGATTAAGACGCGTTGATTTAATAACCCCTGGGTTACATCTCAGTGAAATTAATCTCGAGTTTATGGTAGTGTTGAAAAATGCAAGCGTGCCAGACAGCTCGGCGACAATTTTCAAAGAGAGGAGGAGAGAGTGAGAGGGAAATAGAGTGTGACTTTTCACACGCTTGACGGATACATACGAGGGGACAAGAACTGGGACGAGTTGAAGAGATACACCAGAGAGACAGCACAATGAAGAAGTAAAGTGGAATTTTTCAAAATACCGGAGGATTTTCCATTTGCCAAATGTCTCCGGGTAATATCGAGAGTTTCTTGGTGAAAATTTATGAGTGAAAATTGATGAATCCCACGAATCTGAATGCAACCGCGAATAATTGGATGATAGAGTGTAATAATATGGATTTATTTGTGTGGAAATGTCTAATGACTGCAGACAACCCTCGGGAATTATTATTGATTGATATCGATACAGTTGTCAAGCACTGAGAACTTGATAGCGATAAAACCTGGAGGGCATAAAGGAGAAGTACACGATGTACATGCACATTACACTCGTCTCTGCCTCACCCCGTTGTTGACAATATTTTTCATCGTTCCTCGAAAAAAAAAAATAAATAAATCCCAGACGATGGGTAATGAATCGATGTCAATGAGATTTATTTGATGGAGCTCTGGGGGCTTCTCGCATTTCTAATAATAACAGAGGGAAAAAGCGTTTCTCGATAATCGGGAAAATGTCTCGACACTTGACGATGGGGTGCTGAATTTATTTTTTAAGGGACAAATTCACTTGTTAATCTGGTTGTAAATTTCTCCGTCCACTCTTCTGTATTCTGATAATTCGGGTGATGAGAGTACGTTGTGAATTTGTCTTGATTGGAGATGAATTTTTGTTATTTTTCAAAATGCTGAGAGAATGGGGAGAGGAGAGAGTGAAAACCGAGTGAAAATCACTGCTCCACGACGGATTTTATGTCTGGTGTTGTGCCCATTTATTCCATGCATATCGTGATGTAGTGCACTTACTTGGTGATTTTTAATCGCGAAAAAAATAAAAACATACCTGGGACTCGTAGGACTTGTTTTAGTCTATTGAATCTCTATGACAAGCGATGGCTTGATTACTCGGGTAGAAACGGAGAGTGAGTAATAAGTGAGGAAATAACGCGACCGACTGAGAATTATCTCTTTGAACGAGTCAGCGCATTGAGGAAAAGTGAGTTATAATTTTTTTATTTCTAGAGGAAAAATGATTCCCAGGATATAATATTTATTTAGATACTGGTAGAACCGGAAAAAGACTCGGGAAATCTAATTTTTCAATTTTTCTTCGAATTTTCAGTGCGAGATAATGAGGCTGAATGAAGAAATTAATGTTGGATGGAGTTGAATTGATTCGGGAGTTCTGAATTGTTCATTTCAATTGGAATTTCCCAGAACGATCGGGATGAATTTGAATTTTCCATGGAAAATTTGAGGAAAAAATTGTAATTAATATTTTATATTCTCATTCAATCTTTTGCAGGTGTTCGTACGGAATTATTGTAATTCCTAGATTACACGAAGAATTATTTATTTGTCTTGACTAAACCTAGGTGGAAATTTTTTCTAGAAGAGTGTATCTACCTCAATTTTTCTAATTCAATTTTCCGGGAGTAATTGACTGTAAATATACACTTTTCATTGATTTTTTTTACTATAATCCTGAATTTTCACTCGTTGAAAATCATTCAATCTCAGTGAAAAAAATATGATGAGAATTATAAATTGAGAAAGAGAGAAATGAAAAATGTATAAATTTCTTCGCTTCAGGAATTATTTGCATATACAGTACTCATGGGTAAATAAATCAATTAACTGAGTTTATTTACAGTACGACGGAAAAAAAATGTCTTCATCCCATCCACATAAACCTACGTTCCAGTATTTGATAAAAAAATTTAATTGCCCTCAGTTCGATAATTCGATAATCGGAATATTTCAATAAAACTGCAGCGGAAACTGCTAGAAGAAGCACGAGCGTTTTTATTAAATTTTTTCGTCCCAAAGTCCTTCAGAAATTGCATCGAGACGGATTCTTAACTGTGATACATGCTTTTTTAATCACATGCTCATGAATTTTCCATTCACTCTCAAATAAGGTGACTATAATCACTCGAGACCATCAGAAACGCCGTTAGACATAAAGTTGATAACAAGAGTAATAATAAATTAATCCCGCAGTTATTGCATTCTCACTGACCATTAACGTAGTCCAGAATTAAATCCTAGCTGTCTCTGTCGCGGTCTAGATAGTCCAGGTCGTACTTTATCGACTCGGTCGAATATCGAGGAAACCGACGGACGGCGCAGGTCACGGTCGGCCAAATGTTACAATTCATTGTTCATGCAAAATATAAATAAAAAAATCACTGAACAAATTTTTGTGCAAAGTGTCTTCTGAAGGATTCGAATTATGACTTTTAGGGACTTCATGGCAATTGGCTTGACAATATTAATTTGAGACATACTTGAGACTCCGCAAATACTAATTGAAGTCCTGAAAGTTTCAAGTTGAGACATTCGAAAGAATCAAGACGATTCGGAAAATCTAGATTTAAGTAATAACAGTCTCAAATAGAGATTTATCGAAGTCTCAACTTGAGACTTTTCCGAATCTAAATTGGCAGTTTTGAAATCCTCAATTTCCCATAAATCTCAATTTAAGATAAAGCCTCAAAATAAAGTCTTTGCTTGCATATATATTTTTCCAGGGGTGTCAAAATGATTGGGGCTTTGCTGTCAAGACCCTGAGGTGACACTGAGCGAGGATTTGCACGTGGGTGAAAATCGCGTGAAACAATGGCAACTCCACCGGACTCTCCTGGCCCTGAAGAGGCACTTTTTGAATTCGAGAGTTCGAGGGCTAGACAACACACAACCCGACCAGTTGCCATTGAGGAACTGTTGAGGCAAACAAAGTTTTCGAGACAGGAAATACGCGTTATGTATCGTGGATTCAAACAGGTACGCCATATTGATAAATCCTTGATTAAATAACAAAAAACCGGGATGAATCATCAATAAATGTTCCCCTCCCCCTTTAATCCACCGATTATTTGAAATGATGAATGAAACAGTCCGAAATCCTATGAAATGGGACTCCCAATGGATCTGATCGGAAAATATTTGCCGATGTAAAACCGAATTGCCATTTGGCAAGGACTCCATGCGGCAATATTCATGTCAAAACAGGAACGTTCCCAACTTTAGTATAAATTTTGTGGAAGTATCGAACTCAGCAAATTATACCCGAAGAAAAAGACTTCAGTATATGCCAGTGCCATTGCCGTGTTCACTAAACGACAAGTTTCAGATTTATTAGGAGATTTGTATCAGAATCTCGTGAACTGTCTCGATATCAACGGACGGACGATGAAGGTAATAACGATCAAACTCGTGATAAAACGGGATATTTTTCGAATTTGCCTGATTAATTTCGGTGATAAGGTTCCCTCAATCAACGATACAAGTCTCAGAGATATTGAATCTTGAAAAAAAATGTTTCAATTATTATTAAGTGGAGAGTTATGTTTTTAATTCTGTTTTTAATAATTAGAGAATTTTTTTTTCGGCAAATGAGGAAAACTAATCTCCACCTGTAATTTTTTTATATGAAAAAAAAAAATACGAATGATTAGAGTCATATTCCTGACAAGGTCATCTGGCGCGCAGCTGTAAAAACTATTTTAGCACTTGCCTGCGTGTATTTCAAATGCACAGGTCATCACGAATGCAATATTCACCCAACTATTGAACGCATGAATTAAAGAAGAAAAATTGAATAAAATTGCCGAACGAAATGGCAACCTGCATTCTTGGAATATCACCAATTTCCATAGCCGTTGATTATTGCGCTCCAATTTGTCAGAGGCATGCGAGGGAAAAGGAAATTCATCGGTGCAAATATTTGCTGCGAAAATAGTATCAACCAGGGAGTCCAGTGTGCTTGTTTCGGAGAGCAATGTTTAGATTCTATTCATTCCCTCGGTATATTTCCCCGTTACAACACTCGATCCCCAGCGAATCCATTCATCTAACGCAATCAACTATGCTATTTGCAGAATCCATTAAATCCCCGAATTTCCGCGAATTCTGGGGTTTAAATATTCGCTAGTTCGTGATTAGGAGCGAAATATCGCCCAAGATTCAATCAACTTCATTTCAAGTTCATTTCATTTCGGGGACTATCAAAAGTCTCAAATTCAGACCTTTTAAATGTTCAAACAAAGCAATTTCTTTCGGTAAACACCGGTGATAAGTAATTTCCTCCGTTCGGAATTTTTCAATTCCGGATAAATTCCTCGTTTTTTTAACCTCCTAGAACACCCTTAACTTGATTTTCCGTGACTGAATGCTCGGCTCGCAGTCCCTGGAGCGTTCCACCATATCATTTTCATTTTTATTCAGCAAAACCTCCGGAGAACCTCGATTTGCCGAGTTGGAATATGAATTTTGCATATGCAAGATGCCTATCGAATACGTGTATGCACATTGGCTGGCACTCGTGCACCCAACGAATGCTGAACATTTCATCCATATCGCTGTTTCGATAAACAGACTTAAATCGATAAATTCAAAGTGGCAAACGGAGGTGTAAAAAATCGAGTCGAGTGAGAATGAGTCAAGCGTAAACACAAAGTTTGTGGTTTATCAGGACTCGAGGCATCAATAATTGTCGGGGTACTAGGAATGATGATTATTGAGGAATTGAAACTGCCAACTGAAGTTCGGGACATTCTAGTGATAATGGCACTGGTCTCTCCTATTGTCACTAGATAACGCATTGTTGTTTGCACGTTGTGTCGACGGTATACAAACCCCGTTGCTGCACATTGTGTTCCAACTGATAAGTTTTCAGGCTTTGTAAATTATCAAGCAAACCAAGTTCCATATTTGGAAATATTCCTTATCAATTCAGTGCAATTAGATAACATGACGAAAAAGAAGTGACAAATGGCATTTCACATCCGTGAAAATGAGAAATAGTGGAAATTCAATGGAAAAATTATAAAAACTTCATTAAATTTTGTTTTTAATTCTTGTGAAATCCGGTGGTATTTCAATGAAATCCTCAGTAATTTTAACTAGTCGTAATGAGGTAGGAATTCCGCCGAGAGCCCGTGAAAAGTTGAAAATTCAGGCTTTGCGGGATGCGGTTATATTGCACCCGCAACTTCCGAAACTTCACTGGAAACTATTACCCGTTAGTCAAAGCATTCAGGTGGTACAATTTTTCAATTTACCGCGCCAGGCGTCAATCGAATTTCTCATGAAAAAGTGGAAGTGAAAGACTGCAGTTGGACAACACTAAATAATTCAACAGCGAGAATAGAATAGCGGAATATTTCGTGTCATTGAGTTTGCGTGCCGCTCAATATGCAGTCAATTTTGTTTCGTGTTCGTTTTAGTGACAAGTGTTTTTCGCATCATTGTGAATATCCGCGTACATTCGCCGCTTTTTGGTGAAATACCTCTCAATTATTGTTAATTAAATTATTTAAATACTTTAGTGAATAATTATTTTAATTATAATTCCTCAAAGTCGTAAAAAACCTTGAGACAATTGAAATGATTAATCAGTCGAGAGATATTCAATGCCCTGTACTTATCAATTTCCTTCATTAAATTAACGAACCATTAACTCCATTAACTCTAATTGCGAACGCATTTATTTCACTTCTCTTCCTTTTTAATTCAAAAGGTAAAAATCGATAGGCTGGGAATAAATTCTTCTCCCGAGGTATTTCGTAATGGCACGTTATTTCAATAATTAAATAATAATATTTCTAAGATTTATCTGAGACTCTACAGAAATATCTAAACTTATAAATTCGCCTCAAATAACCGAATCATTACATCCAATTCCCACTGCATTTATTTGACTCCCCATCCCCTTAAATTCAAAACTGAAAAATCGATAGCTCGAGGATGAATTCCCCTCGTCAGATAATCGTACATTATTTCCCCTGAATTTCCATCGAACGTCGTCCCATGCGTATTCATCAGCACCCATTAAATGAAATGCCTCAGATAAATTTTCTCCATTATCACATTTTTATCACTGCAACATTGCGGTATAAACCAAGGCCAATCAGTTGTTTTAACCACAGCTCTTCCTCTAATTGCCATGAAGCGCGCAAAGGTCAT